GGGGAGGAGAGAGAGAGAGAGAGAGAGAGTGAGTGAGGGGGAGGGAGAGAGAGAGAGAGAGAGAGAGAGGGGGGGGGGGGAGAGAGAAGGGAGGGGAGAGAGAGAGAGAGAGAGAGAGAGAGAGAGAGAGAGAGAGAGTTGTCTGAAAAATAGATCATGCAACAAACGTAGCAGAATATTATTCAATTTTAAACATAAACTTTAAAATAAAACAAATATGTAAAACTAAAAGCTGAGGTATCAGATATGAAGAGAAATACAACGCATTATCCTTCAAAATTGTTTGAAATATGAGGGTGACAAATTACAGCAACCTTTTGGTGAAATTTTTGTCGCAAATTAAGACTTTCATTGGGAATCTTCTCCAAATGGTTTTGTAGACATGACATGAAAAAGAAAAATGATTGCAGCTCATAAAATTATAGCATTATATTCTGAAAATTGTCAAAGAACTTGCTCTAGATTTATACACTATTCAAATTATTCGACTTTTTTTTTCTTTCCAAGGTTGGACTCTTCCTTCAATAAAGAATCTATGTGGCTCTCATTATAGAGTATAAAACTTTGTGAATTTCACAAGACTTAAATATGCTTATTAGTTTGTTCCAACAAAAAGCTCAGAGTGGTATTACATTTGACAAGCTTTAATTGATATACATGTATATCACAGTATAAACCCTATGCTAAGATTTGAATCATATAATGCAAAGTAAGGAGAGAAAGAGAGAGAGTGAAAGAGAGAGAGAGAGAGTGTGTGTGAGAGAGAGAGGGAGAGAGAGAGAGAGAGAGAGGGGGGAGGAGAGAGAGAGAGAGAAAGAGACGGACAGAATAGGAGAAAGAGAGAGAGGGAAGCGAGAGAGTTAGGGAAAGACACAAAAATTGAGATTGAGGAGAGTATAAGAGTGAAAGTGGGATAAAGAGAAAACTAAATGGAGTATATTATGTAGAGTATTACTTCGAACAAGCTTTAATTGATATACATGTATATCACATTATAAACCCTATGCTAAGATTTGAAATCATATAATGCAAAGTAAGGAGAGAAAGAGAGAGAGAGAGAGAGAGAGAGAGGGGGGAGGGGTGAGAGAGAGAGAGGATGAGAGGAAGGAGATGCGAAGGGGAAGAGGATATAGTGAGTGGAAGGAGCATGGAAGCATACTAGATAGCTGTTCAGAAAGATAGGCAGAAACAGAGAAAGAGAGAGGAGGGGCAGAGACAGAGAGAAAAGGTGGGAAAGAAAGAGATTTAGTCAGAGCACAAAGTTATTCTTTACAAAGTTTATGTAACACATTTATACATCATACACATATTGTAAATATATCTTTTCACATCATGAAGTACACTTATTTAGATCAATCAATCAGAAAATGTGTTCATCAAAAGGAAAATGGAAATATAAAATTATCTTATGATTATGTACAGCAGCTGCAAGATTTGAAAAGCAGCAACATTTTATGTCTACATTTTTCCCCCTTTTTTTTTTCAAGGTCCTCGAAATGAAAATATTCAATGTAAGCACAAAATCTTCTTTAACAAAAAAAAATTAAAATCATTGAAGGGGGTATCTCACTGAGTGGTGAATGCTTACGAACATTGCGAATTATGGACACGCCAACTTCAGCGACACCGTCTTACAATCGTTTGCAAAGGCTTACGACTGTTTTTCAAACGCTTGCAACTGATTGCAGAAAAATAAATCCGCATTACGTAGAAAAACTGTTTGCAAGAATGAAAACTGTTTGCAAACTTTCTTGAAACCTTTTACAATCGGTGGCGAAACCCCAAATTCGTTACGTTCGCAAACATTCTGGTGTTCTGTGTTCTAGTGATTGGTACATTTTGATTATCATCGAGCAGTCAATCTTCTGTATACAATAATAATACAGTCAACTCTGTCTACGGCAACCGCCCAAGGGAAACACAAAAAGTGGTCTTTGTAGACAGGTTCCTTTTAGTACATGTTTCAATGAGAAACCATTTTCAAGGGGAAAACAAATGTGCTTGTTGTATACAGGTGGTCTTTGTAGACAGGTGGTCACTAAAAGAGGTTTGAATGTAGTTCATGAGATTAACATAGCGCCATTATGAAGGCGCTTCCAAATATTAGGGCACAGGAATCATGTACATTTACATAAGAAAGAAAGTACAATAACTGAAATAGTATCACTGACTCCTCATCCCACTACAGTCCAGGGACCCGTTTCACAAAGCCTTTTTTTCAATGACAAATTACAAAAATCAGTGACAAATCTGCAGATAACTAATCAGAAGCAAGGATTTCAGTAGCTGATAACAAAACCTGTCATTTGTCACTGATGACAAGTTTTGTGAAACACCCCCCAGGCATTCCTTTCAAGAAATAACTCTACCTACTTTAGACCAAGTACAACTGAATTTCATTGATAGCAGTCAATAACTTATTTGGCAGGGCTCGACACTAAGAGATGACTGGGACAAGTGGGCACCCAAAATCAAAGTCTGGACCCATATCATTTCATTTTTTGTTCAAACATCTAGGGCATATGCATACAGACTTAACAAGTTAAATCCGGACCCCCTTCCAAAAAATTACTGGAGAGCCCTGCATTTTAATATTATATCTAAAAAGGAAAGGGTACAGCTTTTGAACATGTAATAAATGTTGTACAGTCAAACCTGCTTTAGTGGCCACCTGTCTACAAAGACCACATTGTTTGTTTCCCTTGAAAATGGATTCTCATTGAAACATGTACTATAGGAACCTGTCTACAAAGACCACATTTTTTGTTTCCCTTGAAAATGGTTTCTCATTGAAACATGTACTAAAGGAACCTGTCTACAAAGACCACATGTTTTGTTTCCCTTGGGCGGTTTCTATAGAAAGGTTTGACTGTAACACTGGCAAAGTATATGAGTGGCATAACAAACATGAACATTGAACATAATCATGTTTGAATTTTCTTTAAACATCTGAGCTGTGTAAATATTAGCTTTTGAAGCGATAAAATGTCATAGCATACAAATATTGACTGCTTTTAGGGGCAATGTTATAACTATTGCCGGAGGTGACCTGGAAACTGTACTGTGCCCGAGATGGTTTCGAGGGGCATAGTGCATTCTCAAGATCACCAAGGATTAATAGTTTTAAAGGTATATACCAGTTTTGGAAACGCCCCCCTCACAAAATATAAAATGGAAGCTCTTATTACCAATCATGTGAAAGAATACGTTTTGACCAATACGTGATGATACAAATTTTGCCGGAAAACCGCCTACTAATTGTTATATTTGGTAAATTATTATCCGGACCGGATAGATATCGTGCACGTGTCGCGTAGTCCCATATACATCTTTCTGTGTACAGTGCTTGTAACTTTACCAAGACTGGGCAAAATTTCTTAGCATTTTGATGATTCCAGAACCTTGCAGTACACACCAATACCTATGCTAGATGATCATCCTTTTCTGATCGATTCCACAACGTTTCTTTCACAATGCAATCGCATGACCAGAACTGGTCTTTACCTTTAACCTTAACCCCCAAAATAGGCAGTCAATATCGCATCCCAAGTGTCAATTCATAAAAAGAGATATTTTAACTTAACATGTATGTTAAAGTGTAGTTATATGCAGAGTCAGAAAGAATTTGCCCACCTAAGGGCATCGTGCGCCTCTCATGGGGCCTATCCATCATTAACAGTCAGTAGTGATCTTCATGCCTGCAGTTTTGACCAATCAGAGGCCTGGAATCTTCCTACGCGGTACATAATAGAATCTATTCAATCAAACGTCATATTTGTGCTGGTGCCATATACACTTACATGTGGTACAGTTGCACCATAAGCCTAAATTTGAGAATTAAACAAAATAAAAAAATATAACATGAAAACACAGCAAAAATCAATTAAAAATCAATATGACCTTGATGTCTGCAAGGTTCTATTATTGGCAAAGTCAATAAAATTTCAAGAAGTTAAATCTATTTCAGATGTTTCAAACATAAATTATAAAAATAAATTGATACATACAGAAGCCTTTCATCGTGCACCCATCACAGTAAAGTACAAGAATGAACTGAGAGCCCAATTCAAACAGTGTAACAGGATCTTGGGGGAAATAAAGAGGTTAAATCATAGCAAGCTCTGCTTAGTTTGTTTAACCCTTTGCTACTTGAACCGGGTTGTTCCTGCATTAACCCTATGTAAATGAAAGAATTCAGTAGCCTACGGGTTAAAATAACACCTTAGGAGTTTGTGTATACCTCAGGCATACCATCAAATCGACTCCAAACCAATCCAAAAACCAACCAACTTTTCAGCGTTAGAATGTTCAAATGTCGGAACCGCATCATTTCAGGTCATTTTTTTATGCCTGTGTAAAATCTGTTCAACAAATTGAAGGGGTCCAAAGCTTCACGTACACACATGTAATAAATGGATGCATAACATGATTATGTGACTAACATGAATTTCACCTAGAGTTAAAACTATTGATAATAAGACTATAAATGTTAAATCTGAGATGCATGGCCCTACATATTATCAGTATCTTTAATATGGTGTGATATCAAAGCCCTAAATAAATTGCGCTTCAAAATGATCATGAAGTGCCTAAAAAAAGTGAAAATCTTTGAGTGACCGGTTTTACCACTGTTATGAAAACCGTTAGGAAAACGCAAAATTTGATTTCAATTTCCAATCATAAATATCTTGATAATCAGACAGGCGATCGGCTTGTAAAAGTCATGGGGTTCTTAACTGACCTAAAGGTTTACAATTATCATTGCAGCATGAGCTATATCCAGGACTTTATTTCACAATCTGAGACAAAGTTACCCGATCCCTTTAAAGCTCAATATCCTCATCGCTATCTGTTTCCCCCAGTCCTCTCTACTGCCTGAATTTTGCTTGCTATTCATTCATGTATACTTAACATCCAGTCCAGTGCAATAACTAGCATTCTCTATAATTATCAGATGCTCAATACTGAAAGACACAGACTCGAACCCAAATAGGTTAATAGAAAACTAGCATTATATTTCAATTGCATTCTTCGTTTGCGTATATACATTTTCATGAAATTTCAATCTAGAGCGTATGCGAGCATGGATGATGAACATGCCCTACCATTATATTCTTATGATTACAGTTTCGTAGTTGATATCATTTCTTACGGTTTAAAGGGCATTCCAACCTTTGTATCAAATAAGGTCATTGATTTGAATTTAGAAAAATAACAGCAACAGAATGGCAGAAGTTTGAAATAAATGAGATGTATAATGAAAAAGTTAGGGAATTTTTTAAATATGAGATCACTACATCACTTTTCTTCTACTTCTTCTTCAAGATAATCTGCCTCTTCAATACTGAAGATACTTGCAGATGCCTTTTATACTCGGCCTGATTGAACACGTAAGAACTTTGACTGATAAAATCCAGAAGATATTATCCACAGCATAAAAATGGATAGACATTCGTTGATTGTTCATTTGCAGCTGCAGTACTAACATTGTTTTGGATTGAACAGTTCACTCTTTGTGGTTCTTCCTTTTTAGGATCGGAGGGACACGTGGTTTGCTCATCTGCTTGTTATTTGATCCTCCATTCTTGAAGAGTTCCTCCATGGGCAGGGCTTCCTCAACGCTCTGGAACAGCTCCAGGGCGGGGCTCTTTTCGGCCGGTAGCGACTTCTTCTCCCGCCCGCTCTCCGCCATCAACCAGAACACATAGACGAAGATGAGAGCTGACAACGCGGACGTTGCCAACATCCAGTACATTAGAACCATGGGGCCTATGCGATCTTCAAAGAGATAACCAATTAAGACGGGTACGCACATTTCTCCGAGGGCGCTACCGACAATAAGGAAGGATGCGGTGTTGCCGGTGACAGGGGTGTACGTCTCCAGCCAAACGATACCAGTTGGGAAGAGCGAGGCCATGGACAGACCCAAGAGAGCACTGCAGATCCATAGGATGTTCTCGTTGCTGTCTGCAAAGAGCGTCAGGGCAAGGGACGCAGTAACGCATCCCACCATGTCGGCAATCACCATCTTCAGTGGCGAGATGACACTTGCAAGACAGATAGCTAGACCCCGTCCAAGGCAAAAGGCGCCCCAGAACAGGGCTGCCACGTGGCTCGCACGGTCCTGCTCAAAGTGGTGTTGACTCTTACTCGCAAACATGGGGACAAAGCTTCCGTAAGCGACTTCTCCGCCAACGTATAGGAAGTAGAAGAAGAACAGAAGGATCAGGATCCTTGTTCTGAACGGGCTGTTGTCCTTAGCTGAAGTCCCGTCAGAGTGCTCTGAACCGATGTATCCAGGTTCCTCTTTGGGCTTGGTGCAAAGCAAGTAGAAAAATAACCCACAGGTTAAAAGAACCAAGATCCCTATGATGATGAAGGGCATCGCAAACCTTTCAACCTCACGCTGGGGTGCAGGCTGCTCTGATTTTGAAGGAGTGTCTTTTCCTGCAATGGTAATAGGTTGAACTGTTCCTTTAGTGGTAGAAGGTTTAACTGTTCCTTTAGTGGTAGAAGGCTTAACTGTTCCTTTAGTGGTAGAAGGTTTAACTGTTCCTTTAGTGGTAGAAGGTTTAACTGTTCCTTTAGTGGTAGAAGGTTTAACTGTTCCTTTAGTGGTAGAAGGTTTAACTGTTCCTTTAGTGGTAGAAGGTTTAACTGTTCCTTTAGTGGTAGAAGGTTTAACTGTTCCTTTAGTGGTAGAAGGTTTAACTGTTCCTTTAGTGGTAGAAGGTTTAACTGTTCCTTTAGTGGTAGAAGGTTTAACTGTTCCTTTAGTGGTAGAAGGCTTAACTGTTCCTTTAGTGGTAGAAGGCTTAACTGTTCCTTTAGTGGTAGAAGGTTTAACTGTTCCTTTAGTGGTAGAAGGTTTAACTGTTCCTTTAGTGGTAGAAGGTTTAACTGTTCCTTTAGTGGTAGAAGGTTTAACTGTTCCTTCGTTGACGGCGTCACGTTTCTCTCTTTGATCAGTAAGTTCAGTGCCATTAGATTTATCTACTCCTTCAGTGGTAATAGGTTTAGCTGCTCCTCCGGTGTTCAGAGTACCGTTCTCACTGGGTGCTCCTGGAACAGGACTTATAACAGGCGATGCCAATGTTACATTGATCATAGGGGAAGGCAATACCAACATGGTGCTGTTGGCGGCAGTGGTTTCCGCCAAAAAAGGAGCTGCAACAAGAGGCGAGATAAAGGCACCAAGGGCGAAGCTGAAATGTAGTGCCTGAAGCATGGTGCCGGAACGTTTCTTCCCCCACATGCGAAGGCAGAGAAGATTTGCACCTGTGCATGGTAAAAAGGAGAAAATAATTGGTTTTAATCCCTGCATTTCGTACTCACTGAACACTGCACATACAGATTAATTTCCGAAATTTGGGTCAAAATTGTTCCAAATGTTAGTTCAGTACAATATGGCTCTAAATTCAGGATAACTCCTTATACTATTTATCAGCCAATATTTGTGTATATTCACAGATGACAGATGCAAGATGGCATTTTTCAGATAATTATCACAAGCTAACTGTATTGAGAGATGACCTAACATCATACATGGGAACGGCCGCTTGGACTAGGATAGCTAGAGACAGAAGAGAATGGAAATATTATGAGGAGGGCTTTGTCCAACATCTGGATGAACTATAGCTCGATAGATAGATTGATAGATTGATAGAACAGTTACTGTATTTTACTATACAAGTTTGCACATGCACAGGTTTGTCATTTTCACATGCTGTTAGGAAATTCGCAAAACAAAAGTATAACTGACAGGAGCTCAAGTTGGATATCAAGTTTAACTCTCTATACGCCACACAAATAATCCCCCAGTGGCACACTGTATTTATCATGAGATAGATATATCAATGGCCTCAAGATTATTGAACTGTTTCCAGTGAGGCAAGGTTAAAGATAAAGTTGAGTTCTGGTCATGCGATTGCATTGTGAAAGAAAAGGTGTGGAATGGATCAGAAAAAAGTGGATCATGTAGCATGCAAGTATTGGTGTGTACTGCAAGGTTCTGGAGTCATCAAAATCATAATAACTTTGGCCCAGTCTTGTTAAAGTAACAAGCACTGTGCACAGAAAGATGTACATGGGACTACACATATGGTGTCGGGGCTAGCTTACCTTGATTCCCAACTCTGTATATATGTTCATTACTCAGCCAGTATACATTTTCTATCAAAATTGTTTGGCAAATGACATTTATTTGTAATCTTGAACGTTCAGTGATAAAGTTTTGTTTGATTCTGTAAGATTTTCATTTTCTTTTTTTACCAGAACTCAAGTTTATCTTTCATGTATACCGATTGTGATGAGGGTTGTCATGGAGTTCATCAAGAATGGAAATGGGTAACTTTGCAAAACCACCCTGATGCACGGAGCAATGCTTCCGTCAAGTGGTGCCTATTGTGTTGTGTAAAATTGCACGTGGGGCAAACAAATGACCATGCAGAGAGGCGAAGAAAACAACGGTTGTGTTGATATGGTTCTAGGACACCTACCCCCTAGACATCCACTCCCCGGATAACCACCGCCAGTCAACTACCCATTAGGACAACTACCCCCTAAGGCAACCACCCTCTAGGACGACTACCCCCCGGACAACTACCCCCTGGACATCCACTCCCCGGATAACCACCCCCAGTCAACTACCCCTTAGGACACCTACCCCCTGGACATCCACTCCCCGGATAACCACCACCAGTCAACTACCCCTAAGGACAACTACCCCCTAGGGCAACCACCCTCTAGGACGAATACCCCTGGGACAACTACCCCTTAGGACACCTACCCCCTGGACATCGACTCCCCGGATAACCACTCCCAGTCAACTAACCCTTAGGACACCTACCCCCTGGACATCCACTCCCCGGATAACCACTACCAGTCAACTACCCCTTAGGACAACTACCCCCTAGGGCAACCACCCTCTAGGACGACTACCTCCCGGGACAACTACCCCCCGGACAACTACCCCCAGACAACTACCCCCTGGACAACTACCCCCGGGCAACTAACCCCTGGACAACTACCCCCTGGACAACTACCCCCTAGGACAAATAGTACCCCCTGGACAACTACCCCCTAGAACAACTACGCCCCCGGACAGCTACCCCCTGGACAACTTACCCGAGACAACTACCCCCAGGCAACTAAACTCCCGGACAACTACCCCCCAGACACCTACCCCTGGACAACTATCCTAGGGGGTAGTTAACTGGGGGTGGTTATCCGGGGGGTAGGTGTCCGGATACGTGTTGATATTCTTACCTGTGTCTAGGACACCCATACTGATACCAACACTACTGATGCTTACTGCCAGGACCAGGACCGATGTCACGAACGGGACAGCCAAGACCCCTATACCGCACAGGAACAGGACAACGGATAGGAGGAAGAGAGGGTTGAAGGATTGGAAGAGCATCCCACCGAGGATTGCACCAAAGAGGTACCCAACGCTCCGCCCCGCGAACACCCAGGAGATCTTGGGAAGCGTGGTATCTAGGTGCTTCTGTAGGCTCAGCAGCGTTGGGCCTAGAATGGCCAGGCATAGACCCTGTGTGGAGAGATGAAACATATATATTCATACCTACAAACCGTCCACAGCAAATCTCTTGAGCCCAAATAGTAGAGGTACTGTGGTCTAGTGGACTGCGGACCACAAGGTATGGGTTCAATTCCCAGCCCGGCACTATCGTCCTTTGGCAAGACGATAGTCTACATTTGCCACTCTCCACCCAGGTGTTTAATGGGTACCTGGTAGGATGTGAACGTTAAGCTAGTTTGCTCAGCATTGTGAGCATCTATAAAATGGCACCTGGCTTGAATGCTCCCCAGGGAGTGGAGAATGTGCATACATTCTTGTGCGGGCAAGCCTGAATACGATGACCAGGATTATAATATAGTTCTAAAGCGCTTAGAGACATTGTCAATGTATTAAGCGCTATACAAAAGCAAAATATTAATATTATTATCAAATAAGGAATACAGTGTACCAGTATTTCACATGCTTTCACAAAAATGTATTTAGTAAATGACAGAAATAAAGGGTCCATAACACTATTTCAAGGCAAAAATGAATTAACGTTTGCATATATCTGTTTGAAAAGAATTGCATATTGGTGAACTGGTGATTTCCCTTAAGCTCCACTGTCCTACTTGTAGCTACTTGCTCCCTCTATAGAGAAAACTTCCCCAATCGGTGCCTGTTGGTCCCCCATGATCCTCTTTTTCTTATGTTAGTTGAGAGCTGAGTTAATGCGATAGCCACCTGTCAGTGACCTCACTGTGTGGTCTAATCCCTTCTGGCCCAGTAGTATTGACGGTCTTTAACACTTACCAAGCATAAGAACGCCAAGCACAGAGCAAGGGTTTTCCTCAGTTTCCTCTTGTCCTTCTTCCCTCCGTTCAAGACGTCATCCACGTTCTTCACCCGCTTGCCCCCAATCAGGTTACGACCCAGGTCATTGTCGTACAAGATTTCCTCGTCATCAGAGTCAGCCATTTTGTCTAAAAAGTGGATGATGGATAGGATCGTGACAAATGCAAAATTGTACAAAGGGGAGCCCAATGTCTGCCCACCTACATGTACATGTAATACTGCACTTCGAAATGACAAAAAATTCTATTGTTTTCTCCTTATGCTTGATATGATATTATTACTTATATTAAAAACCGTTAGGAAAATGCAAACTTCAATTCTAACCTGAATTTCACCTCCAGTTAAATCTATTGATAATAAGACTACAAATTTTAAATCTGAGATGCATGGCCCTACGTGGTATTAATGTCTTTAATATGGTGTGATATTGAAGCCCTAAAAAAATTGTGCTTGAAATAGATCATGAAGTGCCTAAAAAAAGTGAAAATCTTTGAGTGACTGGTTTTACCACTGTTATGAAAACCGTTAGGAAAACACAAAATTTGATTTCGATTTGCAATCATAAATATCTTGATAATCAGACAGGCGATCGGCTTGTAAAAGTCATGGGGTTCCTGACTGACCTTAAGGTTTATAATTATGATTGAAGCATGAGCTAAATCCAGGATTTTGTTTCAGAATCTGAGACAAAGTTAACCGATCCCTTTAATAATCAAAGGTTTCATGAGTGGGCAAGTCAAAGCTACAAATATTTTGTCCCAGATCTTACAAACCACATCAAAGATCTCAGTATGTTTGTTGACTGTGTTAATCTGATATGCTCACTAGAACTTGAATCAAAGTTTTAGACAACCACAAAAGCCACCAACAAATAACACCTGGTAACGTACGGGAGATGACTCTTTAGATTGATCAAGACAGTTCACAGAGGATATGAACTTAATCTATTGATAACAAATCATATTCTTGCATCACTTCATGAAAAGAAGACAAATTATTTCAACATAATGGGCAACAGTCACATGCCATGTGCATGTTTTTGACAAAGTTTCACAAATCAAACAGAAATAGAAATTAGATTTTAACAAATTATTTCGACATAATGGGCAACAGTGACATACCATGTGCATGTATTTGACAAAGTTTCAAAAAATCAAACAGAAATAGAAATTAGATTAAAAGATCTACCTTTGCCTGTTGAAAATCTGGGGATGAGGTGGTCTTGGCTCGCTTTTGGGGCACAATGCAAGTTATTTCAGACAACTCCAAAATACATGTACATGTATGTAGGACCTATGGAAATAAATTAACATATTGAAAAGAAAGTGAAAGTAAACCTGCCTGAGCTGTATAAAAGGGGATTATTTGATCAAAAATAATGTACATGTATTGGTAATGGAAATCTCAACAGGAAATGAATTACTAACCGAATTGGATTAGACATAAAAAGTTTAGGAGTCCATAAATTACGAGGGACAGGGGGGCAAAGTCCAGTATAGCTTGGCATGACGGAAAAAAAACTGCCAAAAGGTTTGGTTCACACATTGTAGAGAACATCCATTGTTTAGACTTTTTTTCAATTATGGTGAAAAACCATAATGAAAGCAGAGTTTGAGCCACGGTCAAAGCATCAATGATTGTTGCATGTGTTCACACAAGCGACAAAAACCTCACTTTTGTTTACTTGCGAGATCGTTGACTGGCTGATTGCATACTGCAGGCGTAATAACAAAGGAATTCAATTCAGATTTAACTAGATGGAATTTTGACTGCGCGCAGTCGAAAATGATGCCTCCGCCATAGAGCAATTTAAACAAGTTTGGAGTTTAAATCTCCAGTGGTTCTTGAGATATCATGATATGGTGATACATACTATCATTAAGTTTGAAGTGAAAATTCTCCAGTGGTTCTTGAGATATCGCGATAACGATCTCAATGTATGGAATTTCATGAGTTGACCTCTGTGACCCTTGACCTTTGACCTACGTGCTCCAAAATCTAATCAGATTGTCTTCCTATGGTGATACACACTATCATTAAGTTTGAAGTTTAAATCTCCAGTGGTTCTTGAGATATTATGATAACAATCTCAATGTATGGAATTTCATAAGTTGACCTCTGTGACCCTTGACCTTTGACCTACGTGCTCCAAAATCTAATCAGATCGTCTTCCTATGGTGATACATACTATCCTTAAGTTTGAAGTTTTTACATCTCCAGTGGTTCTTGAGATATCATGATAACAATCTCAATGTATGGAATTTCATAAGTTGACCTCTATGACCCTTGACCTTTGACCTACGTGCTCCAACATGTAATCAGATTGTTTTCCTATAGTGATACACACTATCACTAAGTTTGAAGTTTAAATCTCCAGTGGTTCTTGAGATATCATGATAACAATCTCAATGTATGGAATTTCATAAGTTGACCTCTGTGACCCTTGACCTTTGACATACGTGCTCCAAAATCTAATCAGATCATCTTCCTATGGTGATACATACTATCCTTAAGTTTGAAGTTTAAATCTCAAATGGTTCTTGAGATATCGCGCTAACAAACTCAATACAAGGAATTTCATAAGTTGACCTCTGTGACCTGTGACCTTTGACCTACGTACTCCAAAATCTAATCAGATCGTCTTCCTATGGTGATAAATACTATTCCCGAGTCTTAAGTTTAAATCTTAAATGGTTCTTGAGATATTCTGATAACGGTCAAACGGGACGGACGTACGGACGGACGTACGGACGGACGTACGGACGTACGGACGGACAACCCGAAAACATGATGCCTCCGGCACCACCTTCGGTGGCGGAGGCATAAAAAGGAAGTGATCACAATCAAACAAACTTAAATGTTACGTCTATTTGGGGGGAACCAAATGCTAAAAGTAATAATTAAAAATATATATATATTCCGCTTTATAGCGCTTAATACATCTACGATGTCTCTGAGCGCTTAACAAATATGACTGGTGCCTGTAAATAATGGCATATCTTTCATTAAACTGTCTTCTGATCTGTTAAATGTTAGTCCCAAAGGAAATTACTTCTCTATTTATGATTTCAGAACTGATCCTAGCAAAGCTAAAATCTATGTGTATTTATTTTGAGAATCAACATAAGATTCCACTTACTAAACATTCATTTATCACATTCCTTAACAAACTTCTGGGATTTTGTTCTATACATCAGTACATTTTAGGACAATATTTAAAAATTGTATGACTAAATCAAGTTATCAAGTTGAACAGTATCAAGTTTTCATGTTGAGTACTTTGTACCTTTAATGTGTTCTCATAAAGGTCTGTGGCAGATTTTATCTAGACAATGTAAACATCAATTTCTGGGCGATTGCCAGAAATGTTTAGAAAAGGAGTTAAATCAATTTGGACATGCAGCGTCAGCTGCGAAATTGAATTAGCATAATTTATCTTCCCCTGTGATTTATGATGCCTCATAAATATCATACTGGGTTGCACTTTGTGCATTGACGACACTCATTCGGTTGATTGGCGTTTGGTCTACAAGTTCGTCTACTTGCCAGTTGGTCTATTCCCATATGGTCTGCTACCGATATGATCTAATAATCATTTGATAATTTATGTTGCCTTGTAAATATCATACTGGGTTGCACTTTGTGCATTGGCGACACTCTGCTACTCTGCTACCAATATGATCTAAATAATCATTTGATCACTAAAAATAATCTTCATCAAATGAATATTAGACATTTGGTTAGAAGACAGAATGGGCATTAGACAAATTGGGAATTAGACAAAACTGGTTATCATACTAAATGAATAATAGACCAACCCCCTGTCCACAAACAACATTTTCTGTGATTAGGCATGATTAGCTACACCGTTTCGCGATAGTTTTACAATGAAATTGTGTGTGTGGACGCTCACTAACGATACGTCGTTTGGTCATCGTTTCGAACTGAAACTCAATAACTAATCACCCCTAATCACGCCTAATCACAGAAAATGTTGTGTGGACAGGGGGCAAATGGGTTGTAGATTAATTGGAGATTAGACCAAATGGTAAGAGGATAATATGATCGTTAGACCATGTGGATAGTAGACAACCTGAGTACAGACCATATAGAGTACCAAAGCTGTGACATCATAAAAATCTATTTTTGTAATTTCTCAATTTTTTCTTCATTTTCCGAAAGAGCATCACAAATAATGTCAAATGTTAAAACCAATGCTGATATCTGACCATCTGAATAAATAGATTTCCTATAGGAACTCAGTGTTGTATTGCTCTGGTTCTATTTATTCAGATGGTCATATCTCAGCCAATACTTAACCTATTCAATTGGTTTTTGACATTATTTGTGATGCTCTTTTGGTAAATGAAGAATTGAGAAATTCCAAAAATAGATTTTTGATGACGTCACACTTCACCACTATATGGGATTAGACTAATTGGGTAGTAGACAAACTGGTTGTAGATCAAACAGCAATTCACCACTCAATTCAACTACATGTAAAAATGCAGTTTTTGTGACGGTGTATAAAAAATGAATTTTTCTAAATAACTACTATTAAAGATAAAGATCACTTCTGGTCATGTGATTGCATTGTGAAAGAAACGTTGTGGAATCAATAAAAAAAGGTTAATCATCTAGCAAGTATTGGTGTGTACTGCACTAGTTTGGCCAGGAGAGATTTCTTTGGCCAAGTCTTGGTAAAGTTACAAGCACTGTACACAGAAATATGTATATGGGACAACAGACACGTGCGCGATATCTATCGGGTCCAAATAGATATTATAATTTACCAAATATATCAATTAGTAGGCGGTTTCCCGGCACAATCTGTATCATCACGTTCGAAACATATTCTTTCACATGATTGGTAATAAGAGCTTCCATTTTATTTTTTGAGAGGGGGGCATTTCGAAAACTGGTCTCTACGTTCATAGTACATGTAATACTACTTTTTGACATGAGGTCATTGAAGGTATAGATATTTAGAAGATTACATCATAATAAATGTTTATCTACATAAAACTACATGTAAAAATACGTGGAGGTCTTGATTCAAGAATAAACAGTTTCATAGTGGAGCAGTTTCAATATGGTAGATCTACATTTACGCTTCAGTACATGTAACAGTAACCAAGTGCCACGTGCCACTAGCCATTAGCAATATGGAGGCACGATGGCTCAGTGGTAGATCAGTGGTCTTGTAACCGGGAGGACCTGGGTTTAAAACCAAGTCGATGTGCTAGTGCCCTTTGGTCGAGTGGATACGTCGCCGGACTGTCGATCACAAGGTCAGCGGTTCGAGTCCCGCCGCTGCACTAATGTCCTTTGGCAAGACATTGATCTACATTTGCCACACTCCACCCAGGTGAAGTAAATGGGTACCTGGTAGGAATTTATTCCTTGAAACGCAGCGCGCGTAACAGCTGCACTGCTAAAGCCAGGGTAATTATGCTGCATTATTGTAGAGCGCTTAGAGACTTCTGACAAAGTAAATGTTAGGCGCTATATAAGCACTGTAATTATTATTACCAAGTCCGTCTGAAAAGAAATAAAGCTGTCAGTCCCCTGGTTGCTTTAAATACTTACAAGCATAAACACGCTTTCTTAGCAGTCAGGTAAAGACAAACTAACAAATATCTCAAATGATTTGATAGAGGGCGTCGTCGAGACTACAACTTGTTATTACAAGTAGTGCTGTAACATCACGGATATCTCCAATTCCGTTTAACCGCCAGTCAAAACCGGACGGTTTTCGGTTAAACGATTTTAAACGTTAAAAGATTTTGCTATTTGCTGACTCTTTCGGCAGCAAGCCAGGTCCGTGTGAAGAAGCGGGAAGGCGCCGATATGTGCTTGCGAACTTGTCACAAATAATAGTAACAATGTCGTTTTTAGGAGAATGTGTAAGATCATTAATGTAAATTAAAAACAGTAAGGGACCTAGGATAGAACCTTGTGGTACGCCTTGTGTAAAAATTGGATGAATATTATTATAAACTACATATTGAGATCTATTACAAAGATACTTTCAAACCAAGATGACAGACAAATTGTAGTGTTGTTCTAGTTTCAGAGTCGTGAGTCAACACACAGATTACTGAGCTGGGAGACATTGCCAGGCATAGTGCCAGATGGAGGGGCATAAATCTAAACTTTAAAAAAAAAAAAAAAAAAAAACGTCCAATTGAAAACGGAATCCGCCATGGGCGGTCGAATACCGAACGGTTAAACGTTTGACTACAGCACTAATTACGTGTCTTCAGATTTTTGTTATTTTCAACATTTTCTCTTCTTGATATGAACATTGTTTGAATATGGACTAACTGACTAACTTCTCAGATAAACAGGAAATCTGTCTTCGTCATGGTATGTGACTGTAATGTGCTTTTTTTGGAATATCTCTTCCGATCTGTGCAGCTCAACTTCTTGACTTTCCCACGTACTCATTTTTGTGTTGTGCTATACTATTTGAGTACCTCGATCACTACACTATGTCTGAATCATGTGGATGCAACACCGAGGCCAATTCGAATGAGCCTCACAGCCACTCTAAAACTCCAAATATTAAACTCAGATCATCATATACTAAGTATACTCGCGAAGTAAAGGTACCTGCCAGACCTAAATCCAGTAGTAAATCAAATACTAAACGACACGAGTTTGCAGCTGAAACTATAATGGCTCTTTTCAAGGATGACCAGTTCAAAGACTTACTACGTGAAACTGTCACATCTCTTGTCACTTCATGCATTGCTAGTATAGAGTCTAAGCTATCCACTTCCATTGAACAAAATATTGGGTGTATTGAACAGCAACAGGGTATTCTTCATGATGTCCAAAATCAAATGGGCTTGACACGTACACATCTCACTGATCTTCAAACATCTCTAGGCAATGCTAAAACTGCCCTCAAGAAGTATGAGAATGAATTAGAAGACTTAAAACAATACAGTCATCGTAACTCCATCCGCATCTTAGGCTTACCTGAGATGCCAAGTGAAAACACTGATCAACTCGAACTCGCTATTGACCTAGTAACCAAATCTCTTGGCATTAACTTGTCCCCCGCCAACATCGACAGATCCCACCGGGTTGGAAAACCACGTTCTTCAAGTGCTCCAGCTAATGCTCCTCCAGATGTTTCTACACCATCAACTCGTAAGATGTATGATAGAGGGTCGTCCCAAGCCAGGAATCTACACCAGTCCGCGAATAGGCCCCGACCGATACTAGTCAAACTATGTTCTTATTGCCATAAGCGGGATTAGCGGATCATAATGAGTAAGAAGTCACAACTCAAAGAGTCAGGATTTATGATTGTGGAAGATCTCACAAAAAGGAACTTTCAATTACTAATGGATACTCGCAGATCAGAGCAAGTAGAGACTGCATGGAAAATAGATGGGAAAGTGTTTGCAGCAGTCAAGACAACAGGAAGTAAACCAATGAAGAAGTTGATAAGCTCACTTGATCAACTGAACTCTCTCCGAATTTTGCACAGTCGACTTTAAAAAAAATCAATCCAAGATTAAGTACCTTGGATATCAATTTACTGCATGCACCATGATGTGAAGATGCTTTTCCTGGTATTCCACATGCATCTTTCCTTGGAACTTTTTGAACTTTTTGAAACTTTTAATATACAAACGTGTTTTGTGTGTGACTGTGTGTGATTGCCACTGCTCGTGTGTGATTTTGATATTGTTGTTATACTTTTCTTTTGTCTTTTTTCTTACATTGTGAAATGGTTAATTATTGCAAGCTACATGTATGTAAAGCTCACTTCAACTCATGTTTTCATATATCTACACATGCATCTTTCTGTACCCAGTGTAATGCTGAGATATTCCCATTTAACTGTATATCAGACAATGAATTTCTCTGGAATCTATATACATGTAGTTACTTTGAACTGAATAAGAATATAGATATTGAAAGACTACGATGTCTATCAGTAAACCCTTTTGAAATGAACAATGATCCCGCTGACAATACTACCTTTCAATCCGAATCTGATGACTATTTTCCAGAACGTAACTGTTAATACTTGTTCTCAGATGAATTTAAATCAAAGTTTCAGAACTCAAACAAAAGTTTTTCAATCTTAAATGTAAATGCTCGAAGTCTCCCAAGAAATTTTGATGAGTTACAGTTGTTATTGAAAAGTTTGAGTCATGCATTTAAAGCTATAAAGTATAGGAATATCTGAAACCTGGTTCAGAGAAAATACTGTTGCTAAAAACTCTAAAACTCTTAAAGACTATTCATTTACTTGTTGATCAGCTTTGTATAATATTTAATAAATCTCTATCACAAGGGATTATATCTGACAGACTCAAAGTTTCCAAGATTATACCTGTGTACAAAAAGAAAAGCTCTCAAAATTTTGAAAACTACAGACCTATATCATTGTTACCATTTTTTTCCAAAATTCTAGAAAAAGATGTTCATAAAAGATTGTATTCTCACCTTCAAATTAATGACATCCTCATACCTGAACAATTTGGTTTCCGTGAAAATTTTTCAACTTCTATGGGTGTATTAAATATTGCAAATGCGCGATACCATAAACCATACAAAGAAGTCTGCATAATTTTGTACTGATAGCTTCAGTTTGAGGTGCAGGACTACAGCGTAGAGACGGTACTGAGCGACGACATTGAAGCCCTAAACGAAGGTTTCCCGATGTCGAATGTGATCCAAATTCAGGTGGAAAATGCAATATATGATTATGATTAAAATTAGTTAAAAATTGGGCTAAAAAATTCCTTTGCTAAGAATGGATTTTTAAACTGCTAAAAAAAATGGATACGGAACTACATGTACACTAGCGCCCATTTCTCCATGTCTGTTGCTTGAACAATTGCTGAAGATTTATAATTATATGATGTTTGTTGTGTTACAGTAAGGTATCTCCACGCCGGTGTTAGGGCTCCGATAGTATGGTTACAGTTATGAACAAGCGCCAAAATGTGAATAGTATGAGAATTGAAGGAAGCATCCAACTGAGTGATGGCAGCACATCGTTGTCCACGTTTTTAACAGCACATCACTGTATATTTTGCACCTAGATTGAGGCCTACACACATTTTGGACATGGCACACACCACTCTGCAGTGCGTAATCTTCGTTGTATGAAGTTGCATTTACCGAGGAAGAAGAAGAAGAAGAATTTAACTTCCTACCAAAGGTAACCAGTGCTAACCATGCTAACACGAGTACGCACACGTGGGACCGAACAAGACAATTTATCCTGATAAATAAGCTTTCACAACTCTTTCTCATCCCTTACATTACATTATATTTAGAATTCATAAAATAACTTACTTCAGGAACGCTCTGAATACGCTGCAAATCTAATTGTCTCTTCTAGATATCCCTTTTCCTCAACTTCTGTTATTATGGTGGTGCCTGGTGTAGTGGTAGTGTCTCTAAAAATCGTCGCAAACTAACTTCTTGACTAATTCTGAATCAGCGTTGGGAAGCTAGCCACTGACCTCAGGTACAGGTCAGTGCTGCATGCTAGCTACGTGTTTCACGAAGCCCTCTTTGCCAAGATCAAGGACAACTGTTGTTGTCAAGAATGGTAGAGGACATCATCCTGACTATATTATAGATAATGATGCTTCCGACCCTGCCATAAATTATCTCTGTCATAACTTTCATATCTCCAAATGTGTTTTAATGCTTGCAATGTTGAATTTTTGTCATTTTGAGATTCTGTTGAAGTTAAAACATTGGGCAAAAAAATTGATAGCATCGTATTCTTATAAGAAATTAAGAATAATATAGCGGTGTATTTTTTATAAACTATGGCATGAAAATGTCCGGGGGTATCCATTTATATAAAACAAAAGTATGTATTCTTTTATCAATAATTGTCTTCAAACATTTTTTTTTTTTTTGGGGGGGGGGGAATCTTTGCAGAAGTGTGTTTAAAATGACTTCCTCTTTCACATTATACAATTTAAGTGAAATTTTGCCACGAAACTTTTGGCGAATTCGGGGCTCCCAACACTTAAGAGGGGCTTCTTTGCCGTTGAATGTGCCAATCTAAATATTCATTATAGCAAGAGAGCGTTTCCGACCTCGCACTGCATGGAAACAGTTGAATTATGTTGAAACCTATTCCATGATAAATAAAATGTGCCATGCATAGGGAGATTATTTGTGTGGCATATGTACAGAGTGGCTTTAAAGATCTAGCTATATAGTACATCAATGATCTAAGAGATCATTTTGAGTGATCACTCGTGCTCTAAACCTTGAATATCATCAGGGATCGATAAGCTGACTGGGCGGAAGGGTGATAATTATGTTTCTAACATTGGAAACAAAAGAAACATACATGATAATGTATATATTAAAGATACTATATGTCCCCTTTACAGCCAACATCAAATTCTGTAGAACTTTGCATGAATTATGAATATGTCATGTATGTCCTATCTGTAATATTTAAACTTTAGCAGTGTCCTAATATTCAAATTATGCAAGGAAACCCATTTACTTGCTAGACTTCACTGTCAGACACTATTCAGTGACTGACTGGCTTTTTTCTTCTTTGGTAATAACATACATAAAATGAGCTGTAAAGGGTACATGGGCATTTGTTACATCAATAACCCACTTTTTTGTAAACTGATTGAATCTTTGCGCAGGATAAAATGTACGACCATTCGGTACAATGGTCTGAAAATCAGACTATTACTTACTGGCTCTATAGCTCTTAAGTCACTTCGACAACTAATAGTCGTTATTTTCAAACCCCCCCCCCTTTTTTTTTTGTTAGGGAAGTTCTAAATTAGTATTATCTTTCAAATGCCGTTGGAATTTAACCTTTTCATTTTTTTGGCCTGCAATTGGGACATACCTTTAAGGCCCAAGTATCAACATTTGGGAGGGTTAACCAACGGTTAAAAAATAGAAATGCACATTGTTTCTGTTAAATGAAGTAAATTTAAGGCCGGTCAATGGGCCTATACAGAATTGACTTTCGCCCCCCTTCCCCCATCAGCCCCAATTCGCCCCTGTCTTATCCTATCTCATTGAACCCGACTCGGCTATATAGTCACAGCATTGCTGTCACCCCACCCCCTCCCCCCCCCCTCCTCCTTCTCTACTCAAGGCAAATCTTGGTTAGTAATAAAAACACGAACACGCTTACTGATGATTTCTTGAGGTGTATTTTATTTAACGATTTACAATCACCTTGCCTTATTTTGCATTTTTATATATGTATTTCAAATATTTTCACAATAAAGCAAAACAAAAGAAAATAAAAGGATAGAGTTTATTTCATTTTCATTGAAATCCCCCAAATAGTGATTTTACCACCAAAAAAAATGATGATACCTTACTATTTTATAAGCCAGACTAAGTATATTGTTTTTCCAAGTTGTTCTCTTTATAGAGTGTCATCACATGACGAGCTACGAATATTGAATAAAGAGCATAGAACAGCATAAGCTTAGGAACCCTGGGCTTATGGGGGGGGGGGGGGGGGTAAATCCAAGAGCCCCCCCCAATAATTAGAAGAGAAAAGAAGATACCCCCTATATCGCGCCTCACTGAGGCCTACAACCGTGCCCCCCCCCCCCCGCCCAATCCTTAAAATCTGCCTCAAGCCTATGTATACCGTAGGTTATTCTTGTAATGGTTCGCGGCTTTGCAACATTTATTAAAACCCGCTTATAGACTGTATGCTATAACTTAAGCCTACATCTTATTCCTATTTGGTTATTGGAGATAGTAAAGGGAATTCAAATATAGTTCCAAGTTCTACTTTTTCCAAAAAGATGACAGTAGACAGTGTGCAAGCTCATATACTTTGTCCTATGAAAATCATCCACCTATATAGCGATATACTCTAATTATTATTTCTCCTCTAAACCTCATGATACAAACTATTCCCTGTTTAATTGATCGGAAAATTGAACTGGAAGAAAACATTGTAACATTACCACTAACAAACAAAATTGTAAAGCTTTTGTTATCTGGGGGGGGGGGGGGGGGGAGGTTGTAAGGGACCATTTTGCCGAAATTGAGTGGTTGATTTAAATTTTTGATCTAGACGGGGTTTGCCGGTTGGGTGTTCACTACAGTCGGTACTACAGTTCCATCAGCGTGTTGGTAGTATACAGCTGTGCTCATCGCAGCGGGGGTCGTCGTCGAGTTCCCGTCACCGCTGTGACAGCAACATCCCCGACAACATACCAGCCCTCTGCAACAATACACCGAGGCAACGATAGCGACGACGCTCTCGATGAAGAGAAGGGCAGCGCAGACGGAGTGGAGGATGACGGCGACGTCGAAAGAGTCCCAGTAGCAGAAGTAACTGAAGCAGACCAACTTGTAGGAGAACAAGCCGGCGACTAAACCCTCGTTGACTACGCCGATGAAACCGATGATGTTGGCGAAGATGGACATCACGAGATAGGCGATGATCAGGCAGGAGCGTCGGGATTGGGTCGTGATGCCGATGATTCCAGAGGGGATAACGAAGAGGATGGCGATACCGATGGGTGATCCTTGGTTGGGATATCCCGTATGACCGTAAACGAAGGAAAGGACGTTGACGAAGGTGATGGTGAAGCCGAGGAGAAGCTGGACGATGCCGGTAGCACGACCTTAGTTGAAATGGAATCCAAATCGAGAACGTGACTGTAATAACCGATTAAACTTGCTGAGGGAAACAATATTTGTGGCTGGGATTGTCATGACGTTTAGAATGATTTAAACTATAGTTGCCAAGCGCTTATTACTTTTGTATGGTGTTGTTGTTGTTGTTTTCGGTGATTTTTTGTTGTCTTCATTAGGAGGTGCCCCAATTCTACATTGTCCCAGTTAACCCTAACTCCCTCCCTAATATTTTTGACTGTGGGTTTGCTAACGTTTCATAAATGAATTAAAGACAATTGAAAGCAAATCAGTACAAGCTACGAATTGTACAAACAATCACGTATTATGTGTGGTCTTTAAAAGTAAATAAACGATTTTTAGAACTCCATCATCAGATAATCTCACCTGCTTTGATGTTATAATGTTCAGAATATCCACTACAACATCCCTGTTGCTGATGTGGTTGAGGTTGGACATATACATATTGCTGCGTTGCTTCTTGTGGTTGCCCATAATATGGTTTTGGTGGTATTTGTTGCGGTGGATATTGCTGCATTTCCATTTTTGGATGATTTTTAGTTTTTACGTAGAAAGAAAAGAAAAAAAAAGAAATATAAAGTTATTTGTTTCTAAAAACGTCCAGCTACCGGGTCAGCCTTTCAGTCGACATTCCTCTTTTTTCTTCCTTATCGTAGATTACTCATTTCAATCTTACTCTATCTTATGTACGGTATATGTTTTGTTTGAAACTTGTTATAAACCAGCAACGTCAAACTGCATTTCAGTAACGTGACGTCACAATGAATTCAGGGTCATCAAAGCGCGCTATACAATTTTTTTCGCGATTGCAAACTTTGGTGCGCAACACGTCACAATAGGCCAATTATGTGAAAAGTCTGTCCCGATAGTGCACACCATCAAACCATCTAAAACACTTTAAAACATTCGTAACGGAAGTTATTGACTTTGAAATACCCCTGCCCCCCCCCCCCCTTAAAAAAAAGGATACCAAAATTGAGTCGATTTTATCTCTGTCTGGCCCATCTGTAGGGAAGGGGCTGCCAGTGGCATCAGGATTTGATACAGAAGGAAATTGAGAAAGACAATCAAGTTACAAACATTGCAAATTCGGTATTCTTTTGCAAATTCGGTATCATTTTGCAACTTTACACACTTACATGTAATTGATGATGACAAACATATTTTCTGGTAGATAGCCTTTTAAAAATCTTTAAAAAAATAAAACATTTGACGAAATATATGTAGATATATATTTATAAAGTTATGAATGTCCAGCGACGCCCAGGTAAGCATAAATTATGTTCATCAACAACAACAACAACAAAATCATACCTGGCTATATCAGGCACCTTTTCCCGTTTTAATCTACTTTTCAAATCCACGTCTTAAATGTATTGCGGTATTGGCCTCTCTTATCTGCCGCGGATCGAGGGGTTAGCCATAATGACTGCTCCATCCATATTTCCAAACAACAACAACAACAACAACAACACAACAACTGCAATGGTGGGAAAGGCCCAAAGCCAAGGGTCATAGGAAGTTCACATTTCTTTTTTCTTTCTTTTCTTTTTCCTTCCAGGCAACAGTTCAGGACGTGCAGCGAGGGAAGCTGAATCATTCGTTCTTATTTTATATATTATGCTGTCTCCATTGTTTTGTATCTTTTGAATGCCGAATAAATAATTAATAACAGTATTAATGACAGGGGGCCTAATAATAATATTAATAATTATAATGACAGCGATGGGGGGGGGGGGTCAGAAAATAATCGGAAATAGGAAATTTGAAATGGAAGAGGAAGAGGAGAAAATAGAGCAAAAGAAAGAAAGTGAGAAAAAGGGAAATGAGGAGAAATTGGAAAGGGAGAGCTAGAGAGTCACAAGATAGAGAGAGAGAGAGAGAGAGAGAGAGAGAGAGAGAGAGAGAGAGAGAGAGAGGAGAGGGGGCAAGAACGGGAAGTAAAGGGAGAGGAAGGGAGAAGAGAGAGGGAGAGAGAGAGAGAGCTAACCCTTCTGCATGTTTGTTCTGTATTCAGCATATTCAATTTATTTTCGACAATGCTGTCATGAGGGGGGGGGGGGGGGGGGGGGGGGTAAGTGAAGAATACAAATGCAAATTGTCATCCAAGTACGATATCAATGTGTTTCGCGAACCACTGTCACTTTGCTAATAGTAATTGATTTTTATTCGACAAGCTTCCAACATACAACAATATACAATAATAACAGATAAAAAATAAGTCAGCTTGAACAGGATAACCCACGAAAGCTCGAGAGCTTTGAATGGACAGAAAAGGATTCCAAGGGCACTTCGTTCGTTTGAACAATCTTTCAAGATTATAATTATAGCAGCGGTGTTTATGTCGACTTTGATTCTTCACGGGATGGCGTTGTTCATTTTAATCGTTGAGCATATAAGTTTTGGCCCGATTGAACAGGGTAGGAAAATGCACGCACTTTTTTGTTTAGTTTAATTTTGGTTGATTTGTTTGTTTTGTTCTTGTTTTTGATATCCCTGGGGATTTATCCCGTGTACTTATCCGAATTATAGTTTCTTCTGTTCAGCTTTAATCATTAGGAGATGCTGTTCCCATTTACCCCCCCCCCCTTCTTCAATTTTTTCAAAGTTTGAATCCATCACCTCTATGACTAGAGGCGAACGGGCCATACACATGCGACTTATATATATATATATATATATATGCGGGTTATTAGGCCTTTAAAATAAAGATGTTGTGTTGCCCTTTGCGAAAGAGGCAAAATCAGCCCAAAGAGGGACTTTAAAATGTATAAAAAGTATAAAAAAAAGAAGAAAAATTAACGACCGACCGATGCATGTTTTGGCACCTAAAGGGCAATACAACATCTTTTTTTTGGGTATAGGCCTTATTATGTCTTTCCATAGGTCTATGGTCTTACGAACCAGGGATATTCCAACTCCCTGATGGAACCATATCCCTGACTGATAGGAAATTAATATTTTTCAAACTAATGACAGTTTTGATAATTATACCAATTAGTACGAGAAATGCGCTCTTGCCCCCTTTAGCGGTCGATATTTACGAAATGTCAAGGCGTGGCCATGAAAGTGAGTTGAAAATACCATTTACTCGCTCCACACCTCAACCCCACCCCCTTGAACGACATTCACCTGTCGCTGTGTCTAAACATACACGTGCTTATATGTACGTCTGGCGTTGCCACTTTGGTTACCAAGTGACAACAAGACTCGTTCATTTTAAAGTAGGGTAAACAATAAACTAATACGGAACTTTATGGCCTGTATCACCATAAGAGTATTGAAATTTTAAGTTAAAGGACATTTAGTGTAAAATTATAATTATTTTGATGATAAATCTTAATATTATTGAGAATTTATTGAAGGGGTTTTGTAAATTAGATATATTTCTATACTTGATTTCCCTTCAATGAATGGAAGAGTCCACGCTTCTTCGCGATTTTCTTTGTGGAGGAGGCCGAGCCGCTAAGCTTCGTTTATTGAACGTGCAAGCCCTATGTAAGCGGATTTATGTGTTTTACAGTAAATATTTACCACAGCGGTGAGATATATCGTTAACTTCCAATTATACACACCTCTTATCGTAGATATTTGTAATGAACGTGGAAGACAAGAATATTTGACAAATAAGGGATAGATCGGGAGATATCGTCAAATAAGAAGGCGAAGGAGAGTATAATCTCATTTTAGCGTGATTAGATGTAAAATGTTGTTTTTGTGATACGAATACCTCGGCGCGTCGGGTGTGTGGAGCGAAGGAATATCGCTTGTTTTGATTTGCAAATTTCACGGATATAGACTACTGAAGTAAATAAATATTGAGGAAATGGCGACAGGAATAGTGAGCAACCAACGGAATGCCTCTGGTTTCAAGAAACAAAATCTTCCCAACATCGAGCACCCCATGTCTCGACTTGGGGACCGAAAATCAATGAATGTTACTGGATCCAATCGTCCAGATTCCGTGATGAGCCCTCGGCCCCGTCAGAACTCCAGCGGGAGAGAGGCGAGGACTCCGCCTCTAGCTCAGGCAGGTCGAGCATCTGTCGTCGGTCTACATGCATGGGATGAGCCAGACCATAATCTACCTCCTTTGCAGAAGGATGGAGGGAAGGAAAATAAACGATCTAAGAAGCAAAAACATTCAAGAATGATGACATGGCCTCCAGGTAATGGTTATGGTAGTAGATCTACATTATTTTAAAAAAGATATTGCATGCTAATCGCTATGAATTTCTTAACCAACAAATTTTCAATTCCCTGAGCTGAGAGATTTTAACGTGAAATGAAAGTTAACATTCAAGCTGGAATGGAATATATATAGGCATAATAATGGCACATTGGCAATTCTAATTTTGTGGGGGGAGGGGGGTACAAAAGGCTAGGCCTTATATTTTGTAAATATATTACTAGTATTTTTTTAGAGCGCTAGATACAAGAGGAGAGCTGATGAATATAATAAGATTTGTTTGATTTTAGTATAGAACAAAGTGATGATATAAACAAATAAATTATACCTACCCCTTTAAATAATTCTATATTAATATATTTATAATTTATATGACATAATAATTTCATGAATATTCAGATCTCATTCTCTTATAATATTCATGTATATATATTTGCTATTATTTGAAAACCATGCTTCAAATAAATAACCTCATGTTATTCAAACTGCATTAAAAAGTAACCACCACAAAATATTCAATTTAGGCCAGTTGTCGTCCTTTCAAACACAAGGCAGAAAGGTTTATGTGAAAGAAAAAGGGATATGGGTATACCGCCCTTCCGGCTCTGATATATATGTATGTATAATGTAGAGAGAGAGAGATTGACAGAGAGAGAGAGAGAGAGATAGATAGAGGGAGAGAAAAAAGTACAAAGCATTATCATCAAAACGTTACATAAAAGTGAACAATTTTACTTATTGAACCGAAAAAATTGACTGATTACTTTTCCTTTTTTTACAGTACAAGCATCGTCAAGAAAATCAGAAATGTAATTATCAAAACGGTTAAAATATTAAGTAGTTTTGTTTTGTTTTGTTTCTGTAGCACACGAGCAGGGGCCGGGAGAAAGACGAGCTAAGTCAGCCAAGGTACCGAGCAGTGCTGAATTTCTCACGAAATACTCAAGAGATCCAGATGAGGTTAGTACCCGAAGAACACCAGAGGGGGAGGAGGAGGGGAAGGGGAGTGGGCAGGGGGAGGGGGAGGGGGACAGTCAAATATATTGCTGCATACATGCCTAACCAAAGTAAAGTGAGAACAATTTTGCTGGTTAAGGCGGTTGATGCATCTAGGGTGTTAAATAGGCTATTAAACAACAAGGAAAATGTTTAGTTTATTAACACAGGTTTAGGGTACCGTACCCTTTTTTTCCTATCCTAAGCCTGGACTTTGTGCAGCCCCTTATTGTGGTAGACCTTGTTATGTTTAGGGGGTAAATGTTTTGAGAAAAAATAAGTGCGAAAAAAGTAAGTTTGAACCGGTTGTGATTTTGAACAATACAGGTAGGTATTTTTTTTCCTTGTGGGGGGGGGGGGGGGAGGACCTCTGGTCAAGAATGTGTACATTGATAATTATGTTCTGACTACCCTGATGAGGAAAAATGATTAAGTTACAACATCTGAAGTTACAACATCTGCTTTAAATAGGGCAGTGCTGCCGTTTGTCTGAGATCATTGAAATGATCCCATGTGTTCATTTTTTTTACGTTAGTGGGGTCATGGGGTGTCACTGAATTGTCCTTTAATATGCATGACAGTTTCATTTGACTCTTCCCAAGAGCCGTTGACAATAAAATTATGTACATTGCACTTTGCTCGACCAGAACACTTGAAAACTCTCTTTAATAGCTAGTGGCTTGATATTACAAGCAGGGATAAATATTAGTTAATTGCAGTGCTTGAAAACTGCATAAACACAAAAAATTATATTTGTAGTGGGCCTAATCAAAGGAAATTAATATATTTGATACCATTGCTAAACATGCATGAGTGAGGTCAAAACTAGAGCCACAATTATCATCCAGAACATGCTATGATTGTCTGCTGAGTGAATGTAATTACATTATGCCCTTGAGCAAGAAGGGACCATCCAAGGCTACAGTATTGCAATAAAACCATGATAGAAAATCAATAAATGAATTAAAATTCCACATAAATGCAAGAAGTGATATAAAATTGTATGAATTTGCAAGATGTGACAATACAATCCATTTTACGTTTTATGTAAATCTACTGCAAGATATGAAGCAAATAAGATAGATTTTGTCTTACAATTTTGAAAGTTCTAGACATTAATTTAATCAACAGAGAGTTGCATTAAACAAAGAGTAATGAAACAATCATCTCTGATACAGTTGTAGCCACAGTAGCCAAGTGGCAAACAAAATCAAATGCCATTTTATTTTTGAGTATATGCCACCCACTGGTCAAGGAGAGACAAAAATCAATAAATGCCAAACAATTAATTGGGTCGTGCTATTCTATTCATGCGACAGAACGGTCAATAAAAGCTTTCTTCCCACTTTGAAAAGGGTGGTCATCAAATGCTTTGTGAGTCTTCTGCGCTGTCTGAACGAGAATGAATGGTATTTATACCGGTTACAAGAACAGTAGCGCGGACAATTCGGAAGAGGTGCATGCAAATACCTCCAGCAACATTGCTATGGGAATGCTCACCATGTTTTCAAGTCTCTTTTTCAACTTTAAAATTTTCCAGTCATCTAAAGTGTTGGGAGCCCCAAAAGTTTGATGGCAAATTTTCACTTAACTTGTATCACAACATGAAAGAGGGTGTCATTTGAGACACATTTCTTCAAGGATTTTAAAATGTATGTGTTTGAAGTTGAATATTGATGAAAGAATACAAAATATAGGGTTTCTGCGTAAGACAGAAAACCCAAATTGTGTATTCAATATTTGTTTTCCAACACTTTTTTTTTGGGGGGGGGGGGGGATCTTTGCAGAAGTGTGTCTTAAATGACATCCTCTTTCACACCGTGATAACATTTAAATGAAATTTTGCCATCGAATTTTTGGCATATTTGGGGCTCTCAACACTTTAGAGGGGCTTTGAATAATTCAAGTGTTAACAGGCATGTAAAAAGAAGAAACAAAAGGAAGATTAAAAAACTGAATTACGCAAGATATTTAAACGTAATATGTATCCAATGCTTTTTTAAGATGGTCCCAATGTTAATTTAAAAAAAAACTATTGCAAAACTGGTGATTGTGCAAGTATGTGTACAATACAGCAATGTAGGACTGAACTTCACACATTTTTTAGAAGCTCGATTGTTAAAAGCTGTTCAAATTGTTCAAATTTTCACCAGCCTTCTTCTCTGATCTCTCTGCTTTCTTTTAGAGTTGTTTGTTTTTATGGTTGAATTTCCCTTTAATGATGCAATATACCTCTTTGATTTCATTTGTCACAGCTGATTCAGGTTCTACGGGTCAAACTTGTCTCAGGTTTCCATGGCCTTCGTCAGATGTTCAAAGGTCACGACCCTCAGGGCAAAGGTCGCGTGTCAAAGAGTGCAATGGGTCAGATTCTCTACCCTCTTATTGGTTACATCACTCATGAAGACGTAGCACGGCTTTTGCACAGGTAAGACTTTAAAGATAAAGACCAGTTCTGGTCATGCGATTGCATTGTGAAAGAAACCTTGTGGAATCGATCAGAAAATGTTGATCATCTAGCATATAAGTATTGGTGTGTAGGTACTGCAAGGTTCTGGAATCATCAAAATGATAAGAAATTTGGCCCAGTCTTGGTAAAGTTACAAGCACTGTACACAGAAAGATGTATATGGGACTACGCGACATGTGCACGATTCGTGCATGATATCTATCAGTTCCAAATAGATAGTCAAAACATATTCTTTCACATGATTGGTAATGAGAGCTTTCATTTCATTTTTTAAGAGGGGGGCGTTTCCAAAACTGATCTTTACCTTTAAAAGAATTGATTCAATGACTAAACATGGCAGCTCATAGGCTGAATTGCATTCAGTTTCCAATAAAAATGAATTATGGTGCATAGTAATATTAGAATAAATATTACATATCAAGCCGCAGTTGCAAAACTGTACAATATCAAGGCTATTAAGTTTGTTTAAATCTTGAAAATTTGCTTGTATAATTGGGTCTATGTTTTATACAGTTTCTAAAATAAAAGTTATTTTTAGGTTATGGGTTGTGGACTTGTGGTAAATTAGAATGTATATTTGGTATGATGTACCTGCAGCGAATTGAACCCTTATATGGCTATATGCCATGCTCTGCGAGGTATTAAGACAATACAATTTGTACTGTACATTCCACCTTTCTGATGAACAAATATATAATCAAATACTTCTTTATTTACACAGACTTGGGCTGGAGAAAGATGACACTCTTACGTTTGATGATTTTATTGCCTGCTTTAGAGATACAGAGGTAAGTTTATTTTTATTTTGTTGATATTAATTGAATTAAAGAACACTAAAGATTTTTTTTATACATGTAATATGGGATACAGTTTTTGGCAGGACTTACACACACATGTAAACATGGTGTCCTAACAGTCTGATACAGTCTCAACCGAATTCTCGAAAGTGATTTTGTCTATTTGGAGCCAGAAGGGTATTAACTCTGTGTTAAAGTACAGTGTATTTGGAAAAAAATGAATTAAATAAAATATATAAAAAATATGAGTTATATGTAGCATTGACAAAAACTTCTGCAATTGTGTTTGATATTAGGTCGTTCAGCGGGAGTGGTTGAGTCCCGTTGCGAAAAAGAGAGTGGCGGCCGAGAGGCGTAAGTTACATCCCGAGGAGCACCTCAGAGATAAAGACAGGGCTCTTCCTCATCAGAAATGTACTGCAGTATACGGGAATGCATTGCTGAAAGAGAAATGCAAGCACAGGTAATAATTTGTTTAATTTAACCATTTAAAATCAAAATCAGTGTACAAATCATGCATGTATGAAAATTATTGATACATTGTAAATGGTCAGGGTGCCCCTAAAAGTCAAGGCTTGATTAATGGGGCACCCAATAGAATAAACATGAGATACAAAACAAACTTAGTTATAAAAATCATTAAAACATCAAGCACTAAACATAAAGGTAAAGGGAAATAGGAAAAGGTGAAATAAGAAAACGTTGGGAGGAGAGATGAAATAACATGTTTATTTGGCATAGGTAGTTATTATTGAACGTTCGAGTTTGACATGAAATAGATTTGGGCTGCATCATCTCTGAGCCCCATGGAGTGCATTGACAAGTCAATCACATTGTTTTTTTAGTAGTCTTTACAGGTATTCCTTTTGTCCTTGGAAAGAGTAGCAGTAATGCACTAAACACATCACCTTAGTTTTCATTTACCAGTAATTGTATTGAAGTATCAGCTTCATGTGCTATATATATATTCAAATATTTTTATTTGTCATTGGAATTTCGTTAAAACTCTTATGCTTTATTCATCTTGAATCACACTTGGTTCTTGAAGTATGGTGTTAAGGACATGTGCCAAAAAATGAATGCATTTGTACCACATCTTGATATCTTTGAATGTACATTTTACATCTGTGCATTGTAAATATAGTTGTGTGTAATATTCCCGACTTCTTGTATTCTCTTTTATTTGTCCAGTCATGGTAGCACTGTGGCAAAAGATTTAAATCATTTTTACCACATCTTGATATCTTTGAATGTACTTTTTATATTTATGCATTGTAAATATAGTTGTGTGTATTATTCCTGAGCTCTTGTAATCTCTTTTATTTTCCAGTGATTTTGACATTAGGAAGTACCTTGCACCAGCCTGCTTTGAACCAGGAGGAACAGTTCTCGGTCTTCAGCTCCAAGAATGTTTGGCTCTCTTAGGAGGGCATCTTGATGAGGAGGAGATGACAAAATTATGGTCTAGGTAGATATTCTTCTTGACATTACACTCTACTCTGTGTCATGCAACCCTCATGTGGTTTGCTATGGTATTCAGTCGCTGTCAGTTTAACTCCAAATCTTCTTTGCCATCACCTTTTTGAGTCAGTAACGCATTGAAGCCTATCTGCACTAGTTTAGCCAGGAGGGATTAGACCTCCCTGCCTGGTCACTGGCAGGTGGTTATCTCATCAAATCAGCTCTCAATTAACATAAGGAAAAGGGGACCATTGGGAATTAACGGGTACCTTTTAGGCAATGTTGGCTGTATAGAGGGCGCAAATAGCTACAAGTAGTGCAGTCCCGCTTTAAATGGACAGCTATCAATTTTGTTGGACAGATTGTCACCCCTCAATTTGTTCAGTGATGTGGGTTAGAAACCCTGAAGGGGATTAATGTTTTGGTGGCAGCAGTGGGATATGAACCCACACTTTCAGGAAAAGACTCCTGGATCCAGACGTGGATCCAGGATTTCTTAGGGGGGGGCCCCAAATTTGAAATCAATTTGAAATTTAGTGTGCTGAAATTTGAAAATCGTGCCGGCCAATATTTCGCTATATAGACCTTCTAAAACATCTAATTTGATGGCTCATCAATAATTAACCCTTTATGCATTTCATTTTAGAGGGTCTTCTCTTCATTTTCATTTGTTATATGTTTTTGTGTTTCATGTATATGGTAGTTCCCAACTGAGCCTTTAAATAGATATTCATATATTTCTTTTCTTTTTTACTATTTACTAGTTTTCTCTTCTTTTTTAGGGAGGGATGCTTTATTTCCATTCACTTAATCATTCTTTTAAATAATACTAATTATAATGATTTGAATATTGTCTCTTTTTCTTAGGTATGACATTGAGAATACAGGAGCCTTAGATAGTGCATGGTTCTTCATACAACTTGGATTAGATGGCAATGGTCGCTATAACCCACGAGCTAGAACAGCGCCCCCATCAAGACGGCAGAAGTACTCTCAGTTGCCTTTAACGGTGAGTTTAATTTGTAACAATTTAAGATGAAGTTGAGTACTGGTCATGCGATTGCATTGTGAAAGAAAAGGTGTGGAATGGATCAGAAAAAGTTGATCATGTAGCATGTACATGTAAGTATTGGTGTGTACTGCAAAGTTCTGGAGTCATCAAAATCATAATAAATTTGGTCCAGTCTTGGTAAAGTAACAAGCACTGTACACAAAAAGATGTGCATGGGACTACACAAATGGTGTCGGGGCTAGTACTACCTTATTTTCTTATCTTTCTATGCTCATTACTCAGCCAGTATACATTTTCTTCCAAAATTGTTTGGCACATGACATTTACTTGTAATCTTGAAAATTCAGTGTAACTTTCGTTTGATTCTGTGAGAATTCATTTTCTCTTTTTTTACCAGAACTCAAGTTTATCTTTAAACCTCTCATTTACATCAACTCTTTATTCTTTTCTTCCTCTGCAGCCAAGGATCCAAGAGGAAGAAGAGTTGGACTTTCCTGAATCACCAAGGATCCCAACACCGCCCTCTAATGGCAGACAGTCGAACAGTCGCATGGGTCCTGCAAGAGCACTGTCAGCTGATGTCGTCAGTTTCATCATAAGAAAAGTAGGTTGATTTTGCATTTTCAATTCCAGCATTAATTTTGTCTTTGGTTTTGAAATGTCAGTAGTAACTAGACCACAACATCAGGATTTTCCATACTTTTATAGGAATTGTGGAGTGGATTTTATTGTGCAAAGTTATTGATTCTCCCCTACACGGGGATTCCATTTAAAGTTCTGTCTGAGAAACTGAGTGTTTTCTACTGCAACAAAGCCTGCATTTAGAAATGGGAGGGGCACGTTTACACACCGTGCCGGCTTCAGTCATTTTCTTCCCATGGTTTCGGACCCACCGTTTTTGGTTCAACAAAGCAGACACCTTATGGAGTGAGACAACTTGCCTCCTCAGACACTCTCTTTTATGAACCAATCATTCAGTACACCTGTCAATGTATTATTGATTGACAATAATTCATCATATATCAATCATTAATAAAATCTTTTTCATCTGTATCTTTTCAGCTGGAGCAACCCTTCGACAAACTAATGTCTTCATTCCAGATGGCGGATAACACAGGGAATGGTCTCCTTGGTATAGAACAGTTTAAGAAGGTTCTGTGTGACTATGGCATCAAGATGCAGTACGTAGATGCAGAGATGATGATGGAAAGGTATGATACGTTCTAGATTGTAGTAATACATTGGAGTAGTGCTAGTAGAGTCAAACCTGCTTTAGTGACCACCTGTCTACAAAGACCACATTTTGTGTTTCCCTTGAAAATGGTTTCTCATTGAAACCTGTACTAAAGAAAACTGTACATTAAGACCACCTGCCTATGAAGACCACTTTTCTTGTTTCCCTTGGGTGGTCTTTATAGACAGGTTTGGTAGTGCAGTAGTATAGGAGTATAGTAGTGGGGATGGTGGTGATGGTAATGGCAGGGTTGATAACATTAGCCATTTTAATGTGGTTGGTGAGAGCAGAGGTAGCATTATTTAAAAATGCAATACAAATGAACTTGTGTTAAGCAGTCATTAAGTCAATATAAATTATAATATAAGTAATATATAATGTGAAAACTTCAATATTTGGCCTTGAGGTTCACTTTGAGAGGACATCAACAAACAACAAGTGCCAGAAAATTATATTGGTTGAGTAGTAGCATAGATATGAGGCACAGGTTGTTTAGTGGATGAGAAAGTAAAGCTGTATCATTACAAAGTGGTTACCTTCGCATGCATATCTGTATATACCCAATAAATATGTATTCTTGATAATTGCAAAGATTTCTTATTTTATGTGTAGATGTGGCTTGAGGAGAAAAGATGGTCGAGTGATGTACAGGGACTTTCTTCTCAAGTATATGATGAGATCAGCTAATGGTATTGCTCATAGAATCATTATGGACTCGAAGCACAAGTGAGTATACATTATTAAAAACAGAATTTGAGATAGAAATGGGCAAGACCAAGAGGTATTTGCAGAGTCAACCCCATCTTGGCTTTGGCTGTCACATGGTGATGATGATGAGTACTAATTGAACGAGAATGTCATTTTCCGTCTCTTTATTTGTCCTTTGAAATCAGTGATTGTGTATCATTTGTAATAAATCTAGCTGTTTTGTTAAGTGGATTTGACTTGGGACCCCAATAATGCTTTTTGACAGCATCTGTCATTCTTAATCAATGTTTATTACTGTGTAACTGGCTTCCTGGTAGGGTTGCTCCTTGAAATGCACTTTGAATTAATTTAAATTTGCTGGAGCTAAAGTTGTTATAATTTCGAAAGATTTTTATAAAGTGCAAATAAAATGGATATTTGGTTGTAATGTTATATATTAATTGTACAAAAAATGCCTATTTAGTTGTTATTTTAAATTTTATTCTTGCCACTATATAACTTCCAGGTTCAATACTCGACTGAACACCCCTCAGGGTTATCTCTGTGTGGATGAAGCAGAAGCCAAGCTGGTAGAACTCATCCATAAAGACTTCCTCAGTCTACTAGGAATGTTCAAGTAAGTATCCGTCCCTCAGATAGGATGTTAAATGGAGGCCCCATGTAGTGGAGAGTCACCACCTTTGCACGTTACGAACGCACTGCACTATTTGTATAGGGGAAACCCTGGTGTAGTGGTCCACCTGCACACCCCGGTATAGTACAACAATACTCTGTAAGAGGGATGTACTCCAATGGAAGAAGAAATACTTATCAATCGTTCTTTCAATCCTCATCCAGCTGAATAAACCTCTTTATATGTTTAACAATTACTATGGATTTTGCTCCAGATTCCCTATTCAACTTTGATTGTTCCCTTCAAATGTTGGCCTGTTTATTTTTTCAGAATCTAAAAATAGGTACTTGCACTTGAACTTGCAGGAGAACTATTTTCATGAATGATGTATTATGTAAGACTGGATAAATCAAGGAATTTTATTTCAGTATGATAATGTTATGATAATGGTAAAGGTGTTGTTATTTTATCTGACTGCAAAGAAAGAAAGTACAAGCAATCATTTGACTTCAGACTTATGTCATATTTGAGGGACTTTTTTAGTGAGGATGATTGCTGTATCCAAGGGCAATAGCCCAATAGCCCTTGGATCAACTGGATTTGTTTTTTAACTTGGACCTCTCCATTATGCGACTACTGCTTTACAATCGAGCCATCACACATTGTTCTCGCTTTTCTAGATCCCTTGATGTTTACAATCTAGGACTTCTCACCCAGCGAGATTTCAAAGACACCGTAGAGAAGGTGTTCAACATTCGCATGAGCAAAGACCAGTTCAATGAGATCCTCTATGAGTATGGCCAGGAAGATGGACTGGTTCTGTACTCACAATTTCTTACTGTCTTCAACAGGAGGAGGTATGTGAAAACTTTTGTCGTCAGATACTAAATCAACTGTTAACAAAACTCAACATTTCTTTTTTGAGTTTTGCTAAAAGATCATTTTGAGTAATATACATTAATAATTAAGCCATTCTGGGCATGAGCAGAATCAGCAGATTATGTTAATTTGTGAAGAATTATTTTGAAATCCACCCATTCAAATGCCAGCCCAGTATTGGATACATGTCATGAAAGTTCTGTAAATTTTTATTCAAAAAAGCCATGAATTGTGGTTATAGAGGAAGAAGGGCAGTACCTCACATCATTTTACGCAGAGTTAAACCCCTTCTGGATACTGATGACTGTTCCTGGCATCACCTGAGCTATGGTTGATTGTGATTTTATGTCATCAGAGATTAACTACCTTATTTACCGTTCTGTGTACCTTCCCTTGCCATCCTCTCTCTATGCTGGGGTCGATGTCAGAGGTTGGTGCAGTGGACAGTAGAAGAGGAGTTGCGCATTTTCACCCAAACTCACATTTTGACTCATGTGGAGTTGAATTCTATGTGAGAGTTGGTTTTGCATGTGTATACATTTGAAGAAAAAAACACCCCAAAAAAACACACCCTTCTGGATCCAAAGAGACAACGATTGTACATATGAGCCCTGAATATATTTAGAGATGTACAAGGAAAAATTTGCACAATGATTGACACATCAAAATAGATTTTAAAAAAAAAAAATCTTTCTATTTACATTTTGTTGTTGTTGTTGTATGTCTGTCTCTGTATGTATTCATTTGTATCTCATAACGTACATTATTTTGTATTTGCTTGTTTTTTTAAAACTGGAATGTGAAAATTGATAATTAAAACGAAATGAATTTCCATTTTTGGGTGGCAGCAGTGGGATGTGAACCCATAAAAATGAGTGATCTATTGTTACCTAAAGCCACACTGTCCTACTTGTAGCTACTTGCTCCCTCTATATAAAGACAATGACTAAGCGTTGACTATTGGTCCCCCATGATCCTCTTTTTCTTATGTTAATTGAGAGCTGAGATGATGAGATAACCACCTGTCCAGTGACCTTGCAGGGTAGTCTAATCCCTCCTATAAACTAGTACAGACAAGATTTATATGTTTCCTTTATTCCTTCCCAGGTTTATTCCATTTCAAACCCAGCCCAAAGTTCAGAACAATCAGCACGAGACCAGTCCACCTGACATCTACCGGGTCCAGGAATCACCAGATGAAGAGGACCAGGAGGACGAGATGGGGGCATGGCTTGCTCAGTCAGCAGCCAATCAGGAGGAAGCTATGGAGACATCCAAGCCTGTGAATGGTGGAGGCAAAACTAAGAAGATGGAGGGCAGATATAAACCTGTGTCTGAGGTAAATATAAGTTTTAAATGCACCATTGTATTGTATCACCCCTGTAAAAAAAAGCTTTGAAAACTTTATATCATGTAGCCTTATTCATAGTTTGATTCTTAGTGTTTGCATAACTTAAAAGGCAGCAGACAAAACAGATCCCATCGCATGTTGTATAAGCATCACAGTTGAATATCTTCACAATCAATTAGCATTTAATTTGAATATCATTTGGGTTTGTACTATGAATTTTCATAAGCATATTCTTAAAAGATGCTTTTTTGTATTCGGTATGTTTGAAGAGGGATACTCCTCTCACAATCTGTAAACTTGACAATCTAAAAAATGCTCTTTCTCTGTTACATTCCTGGGCATTTTTGTACGTTTGAGTTTTATTTGAGATATTATAGAAAAGTCTATGACTAATTTGTAAAAGTTTAACATCTTATGAATGTGCTATCCATTGCAAGACGTGCTATAAAAAAGGACTTGTAGTTAATTGTGTATTGTGAAAAGCCTTGACCAATAGCTTTTCAGATATCCTTGCAAGACGAAAATGAAAAATATTCTTGTAATCGATCGTGCTACAGATTGCAGCAGAGGTTGAGGTCCAGCTGAAGAAGAAAGGGTACACGGTTCAAGACTCGTACAACAGACTAGATCCCAAGTACACCGGTCGACTCTCAAAGACACAATTCTATAAATGGTTATCAGAGTAAGTCCAGAATGTACTGCAACTAGGCCTAAAAAAAAAGATGTTGTATTTCCTTTTGAGACTGACCCCAAAATCTTGAAATCTACGGTCTGCTTTTAAAACAAATTTTTGAAAGCATTTAAAACTGAGAAATATCAGCCCAAAGAGGGAGAAACAAAAGTTAAGAAAAAAAAAAGATTTCCGACCGATGACCCATGTTTTGGCACCTAGAGGGCAATACAACATCTTTTTTTTAGGCCTTATAGATCAATCATATTTTATCATCATGGCCACTGCTTAGTTTCTAAAACAAACTTCACAGACCTGTAGGATAATTTTCACATTGAACTTTCGTTTCTGAGTAATGACGTAGTAGTAATAATGTATAATTTGTAGAGGTGTTGTGGTCTAGTGGATACGTTACCGGAATGTGGATCATATGGTTCGCGGTTCGAGTCTCGCCGTGGCACTAATGTCCTCTGGCAAGACATTAATGTACATTTGTCACTCTCCACCCAGGTTAGGTCAATGGGTACCTGGCAGGAAGAAATTCCTTCACATACTTGAGCGCCACAATGGCAGCAATGCTAAAGCCAGGGTACTAATTGTGGAGCGCTAAGAGTACCAAGTCAGACAGAAATGAGCACTATATAAGAACGCACTATTATCATTTATTATCATTATTACTACACATATAAACTAATGAGTAATAATGTATTTGTTTCTATAAATATTACAAACATCAATACATTCAGATCATATTAGGCCTACACAGTAAAATATCATAAATTTTTTTTTCATCACGCTAGTGGAAAATAGACAATCAAAGTAAAAATTTGAATAACAGGTATGGCTCAGGATGTCTCATGCAAGGCCTAACAGATAAACATGCAGTTATATTGATATCGTACATATGGTAAATACAGAGAGATTGTTTTGAGAAACTCATCGATGTTCTCCAATTTGGTTTTGTTCTCTTTACAGTATGGGAATTTATAAGCGCCAAAGCGCCAATATCTAGTTGCCTAATCAAAGGCCTTGATGAGACTGAAAAACTACCAAAAATTTCTGTTCATGATTCTAACTGGGAAAGACAAAAAAGCAGTGATTAAGCATAAGCAATATGATATAGGTATGTCTTTAGTTTAGTTCTGAAAGTGGATAACTGATAATGATCCATTTAATTTTGTTCTCTTTACAGTATGGGAATAGCTCTTCATCCTTCTGAGCTCCAGGAGCTATGGAAAGCCATGGATATCGCTCGGGATGGTCTAGTCCATTATGCTGAGCTCTTTGATTTCTTCCTGCATCGAACAAAGAGACAACCAATTGCAGGTAAATTTTTTTATCTTCTATTTTTCCACCGGTCAATAGTTTTTTAAAAGATGCCTGCATGCCCGCCTACTGGTCGACAGTTTTTTCAAAGATGCCCGTTGCCTCGGGTAACGGGCCACATAAATAAATATTGCTGAGATCCCCATTGGTTTACATGTAAAAAGTTTCTTTGTGCGAGCGCGGATACCATACAGTGCTTTTTGTCTGCGATTCCCTAATGATTGTAACATTCAGGCAATTTTCCAGCAAAGATTAACAGACAGTGTCTCAGATATGCTGTTATGTTTTAACCAGTATTTACTCAAGAAAAGGATAAGGTAAAAATTCTTTGTAGATTTTTTAGTGAATTTGGTATATAAAAGATATATCGACTGCTTTAATATTCTAGGCATAGCTGTTTCTATACTGGCTCTCGGGGACGTTACATCCCCTTGAGCCTATAGAAACAGCAATGCCTCTCATAGCAGTCCAATATATCTATACCATCTCCCTTAGATAAGGACACATGATGATTACCTGACATGCTTTTGACCCATAATATTCTTAACTACCTCCCTCAGATAAGGAAGCATCTCTAAGAAGAGCCAAGGCCGGTAACCAACCTCCGCCAGTCAGGAATAGCTCTGAGATGAAGGAGATGATGGAACTCTACAAGATACCCGTCTCAACGGTGGTAGAGAAAATCAGACCAGATGTAAGTCAAAATAAATTCATGCTCAAGTTTATAAAAGGTATTACATCATATGAAAGAATGTGAAGGTGTTGTAGTCGAGTGGATAATAATGTCACTGGATTGATGATCACAAGGTCTGTGGTTCGAGTCCCCCTGCAGCATTCATGTCCTTTGGCAAGACATTGATCTACATTTGCCACTCTCGACCCAGGTGATGAAAAAGGGTACCTGGCAGGAATTAATTCTTTGAAATGCTAGAGTGCCAAGATGGCAGCCAAGCTAAGCCGGGGTAATAATTGTTGAGCGCCAGGAGTGTCAAGTCTGACAGACATGAACGCTATACAAGAACTCACTATTATTATGATTATTATTATATTTTATTGTATTTTAGCCTTTATATCCTGCTAACAAGGTCTTTCGAAACAATTCGGCCTTATCAGGATTTGGAGTATGTTCCTGTGTTTAATAGGAAGGAAGAGGATGAAATAAATAGAAAATACATTAATGGGTGGAGGGAGGCAAACAATTGAAATAACCATATTGGGAAAAGAAGAATTGAACGTGCTTTGTCATGAAAGAGAGTGTATTGATGGTTGAGCTTTTTCTATGAAACCTTTTTTTTACCAGGTTGTCAGTAACTGGAATGGTCTAAAGGAAAGGCTGAAATCTCTGGATCCACAGGGCTATGCTACTATCTCCACTCCAGATTTTCAGGTAACAGAGAAATTTTGATCTACATGTATCATATAGAAATGATAAAGATATACCGGTAGTTATTGAATGGCTGAATTGTACAATGTTTTGAACAAAAAAAAGGTGTATGAAACACATAAGGAGAATAACATAAAGTTTGTAAATCAATAGAAGCAATAACAGAGATATGTACTGTAGAGGAATCCAGGGCATCTACCCCCTGAACTATCATCCTAAACTCTACCCCTCAGGACAACAACCTTCTTTGGACAATACTCCTCTAAAAAAAACTACCACATTGTTATCTCCTCTCCCACCCCCTCCCCTGCCTTCAGCAACTACCCCTATGAAATAAATAAATAAATAAAATAATTAATTTTAACCCTAAAGACATCTAATGGGGCAGGGGTACAATTCTAAAAGGGCAGCTGTTTTGGGTTAGTTGAGGGGGTAATGGAGGGATGCATAGTTTTGTAAGGATACCTCTGTATCATTATTAATATTAACTTGTTAAGAGGGATGAATGGATAAGAAAGGAAAAGAAGAGGAAATAAGGAACAGTATCAGTCGATACCTTTACATTTCTGTCAGCACTTTCACGAAAATTTCCTGCACTCATTTTAAAATATTTAATTATAAAAACTATTGAACAGCATTTTTCTCTTTTCAAATATGATTTGCAGAGACTGGCACAAAGGTTTCAGTTCCGATTAACGCCAAGAGAGCTTGAGAGATTAACTATGAGTTTTGATCATCATCAAACAGGAAAGTAAGTATTCATTATGAGATATGACAGTCCTATCCTCTGGTTACATGTATAGGCCAAGAGCATTAGTTTTAACATGGAAATTGCTCATAACAAGCTGATTTTGTTCAGGATAGGTCCAGGAATATGTCTAGAATAACATACTAAAAGTCCTCATAAATCCTCCATGAGCGTTTTCCGCAATCCAAGATAGCGTCCAAAATGGCCGCCATTTCCTGAATTTCTTATAACTTTGCAACTAGATAACCCAAATACAAAATTTAAGTCTAAATATATGTTTTTCAGCATTAGGAACTCATTAAAATTCCTTCCCAAATCCAAAATAGATTTACTACAGTTAAATATATTTTTTTATTGTTTATCATTTTCTTGGTTATTTCCTATTCATAAACATACATTCCGGAAGTTTTTATGAATTTATTATCTATTTTTCCATTTCAGCTTCCATTACATAGACTTTCTGTGTCTTTTTATTATTTTCTTGGGGATTTCCTACCGGTATTCGTAAACATACATTTTCTGGATGTTTTCATGAATTTCTTATAATCTTTCCATTTCAGCTTCCATTACATAGACTTCCTGCGTCTGTTTTCTGAGAGCAAGAAGCCAGCGCAGCAGGGTGGGCAGGCATACCATAGAAACTTCCATAAGATAACGGTGAGTCAATTTAGTCAGTTTATTTAGATCGGTGAAAGAAATTCATGTTAGATGTAGATCTTAGAGGTGTTGTGGTCTGGTGGATAAGTCACCCAACTGCAGATCACAGGGTACGGGGTTCGAGTCCTGCCACAGCACTATAATGTCCTTTGGCAAGACGTGAATCTGCATTTTGCCACCCGGTTGGGTACCGGTAGGATGGGAAGTTAATGTAGTATGCTCAGCATTGTGAGCGTCTGTTAAATGACACCTAGCTGAAATGCTCCCCAGGGAGTGAAGAATGTGCATGCATTGTGTGCGAGCAAGCCTGAATCCAATGACCGGGGTAATAATATATCTGTAAAGCGCTTAGAGACACCAAGGATATATTAAGCGTTGTATAAAGCAGAATATTATTAGAAATTTTGAAAAAGGTGGCTTAAATATGGTACAAATTAAGCCACTAGGAAATGCAGAATGTATGAAATGATAAGTTTATACATTCATGAAGACATATGTTCCTTATCATTTCTTGTAATGAACAAAATGAGATAATCATTTTCTTTGCTTGAAACTACCTGCTACTCTTCATGGTAAACTCTGGCAGTTCAGAGAGTTTTATTTTTGTGTTGAGAATTATAGCCTGAAATGCATGACCAGATATTCAATGGAATAAAATTAAGCAGTTTTGAATTAAAAATGTTTAACCTGAATTACAATATTGACATAATCCAAGATGGTTTGCCTTTGCATGTTATGAGTAAGGATGGCAGACAAGAAAGGCTAAAGAAAGATTTATGACAGTTAATTTGTAAGACCCAAAGTGATGAGTATACATTTATATGTCATTGAAAACATTCCTACAGATCTGTAAAGGGAATATATTATCTGTGGAATTCTTTCTTCACAAATGAAATAAAACCTTGATTTGAATATGCTCAGAAAAGTTTCTTACCGTTATCTCTTAAATCACGTTTCCTAATAATTCATCTCCTCTGTCCCATCCCTCTTACAGCACCAGACATTGAAGGGCCCAGAAGAAGTGACAGTGACAGACACATTTGATAAGATTAGCAGAAAGGTAAAAGAAATAATGAGTAATTTCTTTTTTCAATTGTGCAGTAAGCTTCAAAGATTGACGATAATGATATTAGCTTTCAAATGTTCTTATTCTCCTCTTGTAAGTAAGAAAATATAAACTTGAAAGTTAGAAAAGGCTGCCTTTCAGATTCTGTACTGGAAAATCCTCAATGTATTTTGTACTTTCATTAAAGTGGCATTTTGAGAGAGCAAACGTGACTGTACAGAATTTGTTTTTTAAATGTTAAGTGTAATGGAAATGGGGTTCTGCATATGCATTGTAGTTTATTTGGTCCAGTAACATATTAACTTTGAAATGTCGCAATGCATACGTTGTTCCATAAGTCAATAGAGAAAGGCATGTACAAACTTTCATGATATTGAACACAAATGTAAAGCATGGGTCTATGTGACTACTTCATAAAAATTAACATACAAGTTGCAAAAGTTAATATTTATTGAATAGGAGAGTTTTAAGAGCCTCTTAAAAATATTATCTAATTAACGAGACATTGTAAGTTTGTAAATTCCTCCCGTATAAAAGCATGATTACATAAAAAACTTATGTAGCATACAGGACTAAATTGTCTGTCTTGTCTTCTTAAATGCCGATAGATCCTCGGTGATTGGCGAAGCATACGACGTGCCTTCAAGAAAGCTGACCTTAACGGGGATGGTCACCTGAGCATACCAGAGTTCAGACGTATCCTGGCCAACATGAAGGTCAACATAGCAGAGGAAGATTTCTACCACATTGTCAGTGAGGTGGACGAAAACATGGATGGGAATATATCATATGAGGAGTTTCTTGCACAGCTTATGCCGAGATGAAAATACTTTTATGTAATGTAGGAAACGATCAAAGAGAGAGAGGTAACAGTGCTTCCTTGTTTAAAGCCTGTCTGCACTAGTTTGACCAGGAGGGATTAGATGTCCCTGCATGGTCACTGACAGGTGTTTATCTTGATCAAATCAGCTCTCAATTAACATAAGAAAAAGGGAATATGGGGGACCAACAGGTACCTCTTAGGCGTTGTGTGCCTATATAGAGGGCGCAAGTACTGCAGACAGGCTTTAAAGCAGAATGCCTGATTTTGAGGAATATCCCGAGGCTAGCGCATATAAAATAAAAATTTTTAAATACATGTTTTTGTAAGACAGTACGGTAATTGGTCATGAATGTGTAAGATTTTAAGAATATCTGTAATCAATTTCATAAATTGCTACCTTTCATTTTTAGCGAGAGATATCTTGAGTGTCATAACAAATCTACATTATGAGGGTTTATTGTTGATTAAGGCAGAGGAATATAATCCTGGCAGCTGTCAGAATCATGTATAAAAATCAGAATATAATGAGTGACAATCAAATTGCTTCATTTTCATCATGAGTATATTTTCTCTTCATTTTCTTTGAAAGAGAGAGAGAGTTTGGGCTTTGTTTTAGTGAACGGATAAACCTGATGTTCATGTATTTGTATAAGATTTGGAAACTTAATATAGTAAGCCAATTTAATGTAAATTCAAAAGCAGCTTATTTTTATACTACAGATTTTTTATTCTTGTGAGGCGATGTTTTTTTTTAGTATGGTAAAGTATTTTAGTCGTCTTAGCCTAAATCTGTCACATGTAATATGCTGTTTTTTTTCTTCAAAGGAACACCTCTTGGTAATCAGTAAGTGTCCATTTGCTATCAGGGGTTTAGCAAGCCTGATTCAGGTTTAAACCAGAAATAGGCTAGCTATCTACTGAATAAACACAAGACCAGTTTTGATTAGGCAGACATGTTCCTATGTTAATACGTTTGTTAAAATATGCACCATATGTATTCAAGGCCAAATTTGTTATATGATGAATACGAATTTTTGTTTTTAATTGTTATTGATAGATATATATTAATGACTGGTAAAGTGGTTAATGATTATAATGAGAAAGAGAGAGAAAGAGAAGTGGAATAGAATATTTGTAAATTGAAAGAGAAATAGTGGGACTTAAAAATTGTATATTAAAAAAATAAGAATTGATTAGGAGGACTGATTTACACTACGTTCAAGTGTCTCACTTTGTTACATCATATATGATCAAACAACTATGTATTTTTACTTCAAGATCAGTCTCATCAAATATAATAATATTATATAATTATTTATTGTACAGTTGTATATTAAATATAATGAATTAATCGTCCATTCTTATGAATTTCATACAGTTATTTAATTAAATTTTTAATTTTTTTATTACAAAAAGTAACAAATAATGGTAGGTTGTCCTTTCTATTAAAGGAAATTAACTTTTTTTTCAAAAGGATATACATGTATATTCAATGGTGTATCTGGTAATTAACTATTCTGAAATAGCCTGGCTGAAGAACAAATTGTGATCAAAAAATTACAATTTATCATAATTTATGTAATTGTCAAGAGCATGAGAGATAGCAACAAAGTTTCACCATTTCGTGGGGAAATACTGTCATTGAAATATATTTCTCCAGTAATACATTTAATGTATATATATATATATATATGCAAAGTGGTGAAAATGTTAATTTTTACCAAAAATTGTATTGATGTCTTTGTAAGATATTTTGTTAGCCTATGTACACAGAGAATTGTATTTGTATATATGTTGCCGTTTTGTGGTGAGGTCTTAGATTATACTGATTTTATTTTCGTCCAAGAAACTATATATATAAAAGTACTTATCATCTCATTTGTATATATTTCATATGGTAAGTAAATATTAAAAATACACGTTTCCATGAATCACTACTACCGTTTGTTTCAAATCATTGGCTCAGTCAGTAGAGTGTCCGCCTCACAACCGGGAGGTCGTGGGTTCGAACCCCGGCCGCGTCATACGAACAGACGTTAAAAGATGGGAGTTGTTGCTACCTTGTTTGGCGTTCAACAATAAGGGATAGAGCAACGTCGATCTGGCGCTGCTCAGTGGCTGCCGGGCTCACGATCAATTGGGCAAAAAGAATTTCCGTTTTGATTTGATAAAATTTGGAGTGGACTATTAGGCTATTATTATTATATTATTATTATTATTTATGTAGAAATGTGTCCTCAATGTAGTTTACCCTAAAAGTAAATTAAGTCCTGAAAAATGTCGTGATTTCTACAGTATTTTTCCATGTGTATCATGTGAACACACTTTCCAGTAATTAATGTATAATTTTGTTATTCATATCTAATCTACTGGTTGGTTTATAATCTTCATGAGAATCAATTTTTAAATATGAATGATTATTAAGGAGGCTGGCATTAAACTCTCAGTTGGTATTACCATGAAGAAGAAAAAACAAAAACTTTTCTGGGTTTTACATACTCCATATTTCTTTGGGGTATGTGGTGAGAAGTTTGGGGAAGTAGAAAGAGAGATTACAAGAATGGAAGTGGTGACGATGTGTGCAGGCCTGCCGTGTGATGGGTGAAAGAAATTGAATGGAAGACGAATAATGGATATGTGCTAAGTTAACACGTGCTTAAAATTTACAACCAAAGACCAGCTTTGATACTTTCTCTAAAGCTGATACTGGTTTGTGTTGCACTGAAGGAGGAGAAGGAGAAATATTAGAAGATGAAGTAGGAGAAGAAAAATGGGAAGAATTAGACAAGAAGGAGAAGCAGAATGAGAAGGAGATGGAGGAGTAGGAGAAGAAAAAGAAAGAATTAGGAGAATAAGGAGAAGAAGAAGTAGAACTTAGAAGGAGATGGAGAAGAAGAACACTTTCGCTCCTGGTGCTCAACACCTGTGCAAAAAAAAAAGTCACTTCATTTCAAATCAGATCTTCTCTCCTCTCATTTCATTTCCTCTTTCCTGTCCTCTGCTTTTAAATTTATCTTCATCACCTCATCTCCCCCCCTCCTCTCTCTCTCTTTCTCTCCTTACTTTTTGTTACTCTTTGGCTGTATACATATTCATTCCATCAATATTTCTCTCTGATTGGATAGATTATATTCTTTCTTTTTCCTCCTCAAGTTTCATTAAATTCCATATCTGTACTACTCCCGTCCAAAGCTTCAACATTCTTTTTCCACACTCATGGCAAGGGGTACCACATCTCACTTCAATTGAACTGCGTTTCTTTCTAGATCTTTCTCATATGTCTCAATCATTTCTCCAATACTACTTTCTCAACAAAAAAATAAATATAATATATTTGTATAACCAGGAAAGCCTCATCACAGTAGTGCTGTTCTTCCCAAGGCCCCTGCAATAGTTTTAACCCCAGCAATTACCAGGTACCCATCTACACCCAGGTGGAGAGCGGCTTATGTAGATTCATGTCTTGCCAAAGGATGTTTAATAGTGTAGGCTGGGATTCGACCCTTCAACCCTTAGATTGCAAGTCAAGGGAAGTACTATACCATAACGCATCCTATCAAAATAATTTAAGCATAAATGAACCTACTACTGAATACGTCCCCATGAATAAATGTTGCATTAATTCATTAAGTCTCATACTGAACACTCACAAAATCATTACATGTAGCAAAGGAAACATCTTTCTTTGTGTACAAAATTCAAAAATGGTTTTATTGTGTACAACAGAAAATTGTCATCAATTTTCACACTGAATAAGATGGTGTCATGTCAAGTGTACAGCGTTCAATTGGGAAATGAAATGTTTCAAAAGAATATAACTTGGTATATCTTCCACACCTTGTTTTTGTATCAGAGGGAAAGAGACAAACAATGGGTAAATAGAAACTTGTTTTCACTCTGATTTTCAGATAAATTTATTCGAAAATGATTGAGCTCTACTATAACATACTACTAAAAAGTCTATAAACCTTTCAAAATAATGGTTCAGGCCGTACAGAATACAAATATCAACCAGGGCCCCGTCTTACAAAGAGATGATATCAATCGCAACTTATTTGAGATCGATATCAATCGCAACTATGTACGTAAGAGATAGGAGACTGCAAACTTGCGATTGATTGGAGGACTTGCGATTGATTTGGATCAATCGCAAGTCTTCGTAAGACGTGGCCCAGGATTTAAGAAATGTTCCAGTAGTGCACTTATCTGCTTACGTGTGATTTTTAAGGAATGCTTACAACTAAGAAAATAATTAAAAGAAAAACAAGATCAACGTTTACACCAACATTAAATATTTACAGAATACAAACATGATCTTTCAATTTTAACATAATGAGTGACTTATCTTTGTTGTGTTGTAGGAAAGCTGTATAATATTGAAAAGTTGATTACTTTTTAATATTGAAAATACACATCGGGACATGTTTTGTACTACAAAACACCCCCTCGCTTTGATATGAAATAGATGTACAAATTAAAGACGAAACGCTGTTTGGTCTACACCCAGCCCATCCTATCCATATGGTCTAATAATCACTTGGTCTACTTGTTATTTGGTCTAATGACCAGTTAGGCTAATAGTCATTTAGTCTAATTTCAATTTGGTCTAATCTCCAATAAGTATACATCCCATTTGGTCTATTGTTCATTTAGTCTAATTCCCAGTTTGTCTAATGCACATTTCAACTACCATCCATAAGGGCTAATAATCATTGATGATTGTTATTTATGATTGAATGATTTTTAGACCATGTAGATAGTAGACGGGCTAGGTGTAGACCATATGGGGATAGACCAATCGGGTAGTAGACGAACTGGTTGTAGACCAAACGGCAATATACCAAAATGATTATTAAACCATGTGGATAGTAGACAGGCTGGGTGTAGACCATATGGGAATAGACCAATTGGGTAGTAGACAATCTGATTGTAGACCAAACAGCAATAAACCCACATTAGAAGGTACATTCTGAACTAAGAAGGGCTGTTGCATCAGGTCTAGCTCATTCCAGTTGAAGCATCAAGTGATAAATAAGACTAAATGAAGCAGGTAGGTGCCATCTATGTTGACAATTTTAGTTTTGATACCCTGAGAAGCAGTTAAATATAGCTGGCTCCCCCCAAAAAGAAGGATTCCTGATCAACTACATCTTCTCCAACATTATTTGCTGTTCACGGACAAGGAAATACGATTCTCTGGGAGAGACAATTCAAGCGTCAATATTTCTAATCCGTTTCACGATTATGTGCACAGTGACTGAAAATTTGAAGCTATAACATTTGCTATTTTTTGCTATTTCGTAGAACGATTCCTTTCTCATTATTCTTCCCCTTATTCGTGATGACAAGAGATCGATAATATCGGAAGCTCGAAATCAAGTAAATCTCACAATGAATGATCCCTCCTCCCAAAGATTCATGATTACAATAAAACAATAAAAAGAATCTGACCGATCACTTTGAGCTCATACACAAGAAAACAATATGACAGACGGGGAAACAAACAGATGCAATGTTATTCTAAGATGTATGATGTACAGGTATTATATACAAGGTGAAACAATAGAAAGCCGAGCGTGAGGCCACTGCTAATGAGCCGGCTCTGCAGCCCCGGCGGCTTCTTGGACGTTCTGAATCAGCGTGATGTTGTCTCCTTTCAGCAATATCCGTCCTGCAATGAAGAAGAAATGACAAAAAATGGGGGATTATTTAAAACCTGTCTGTACAAGTTTGACCAGGAGCAATTAGACCACCCACGTGGTCACTGACAGATGGCTATCTCATCAACTCAGCTTTTAATTAACATAAGAAAAAGGGGAATCATGGGGGACGGACAGGCACCGATTAGGCATTGTTTGCTTTATAGAGGGCGCAAGTAGCTATAAGTAGTGCAGTGGGGCTTAAACACGTCATTACACCATACAGAACAATTGAAACTGAAACAAATCCATTTATATCATCACAAGGTGTGTTGACCAAATACATGTAATCTTGTATAGCAACTGAAATCTGCTTGATGCCCTATAATTAATATAGGGCTTCACACTATTCTCATTTGAAATGGGGTCCGTATTTAAATTTCTTGAGTCTGTTTGCATGAGCACTATGTAAAGCTGATGTAAATCAATTAAACCTCAGGGAACTGGTCAAATATATGCAAATAAAGGACATTTGCTATTTGCTGACTCTCGAAAAAATACCTTTTTTAGTATTTTTTAGGGAAACACAAACAAAAACCACATTAAGATGTAGACTCACCTAATGGTTTCCTCGTCTTATTTTTCTTGTGGTACTCCTCAGCATCATCTAGTACTACATTCATGTACTCGTCAAATCCCTGAAGAAAAAAAAAGATTCAGAATAAGAATAGCTCAGTCACATTTATAATGCGCCTAATCCTTTGTTTCTAGGCGCAATACATATTATTACCCGTCATCGGATTCAGACTCACCAGCACACAATGTATGCACATTCTCCACTCCCTGGGGAGTATTCATGCCAGTCGCCATTTTACGAGGGCCACTTGCTCATCCAACCACATTAACTTTCGCATCCTATTGGGTACCCATCAGGGGTGATAGTGAGCACTACAAAAAAAAATAGATTTTTTTTTTTCCCTTCGACAACGCCCCCCTTGAGTAAAAAAAAAAGGTCATTGTGCATGAAATATTTGTAAATTTCAGGAGTGGTTCAGATTTACAAAAGTTTTATGCTAAAAAATAATCACACCTGTCTCTGTTGTCAAAGAATTTCGTCAACATTTTTGGCAGCCAATCTTGGACAGTCTCCCATTACAGAGGCTGTTCACACCGGCAGAGATGCGGTGTGGGAGGTACAACGTCGTTTTGGTCCGCCCAACAGCGAGCCACGGTGAGCCAAAACGGCGTGCCACTGGAGCACCTCTTGGGGGTGGTCCACGAGAGATAGCGCGGTCTAGCGGGCGCTAGAAAAAAGGGGGTGCTACGATAGACCGCGCTATCTCATTGCGGTGTGAACAGCCTCTAGGATACCACATTTCTTGGGTTTGCATTTGAGACAAGGGGATTAAAAATCACAATTGTCACAACACTTTTGTGATTCATGCAAAATTTGTGAGGTGTAAAAATGGCTGTCCTTAGAGATTTGCAAAAGTTTCTGGAGAACAGAGATTACTTGGCCATTCAAGAACCTTAAAGGTAAAGACCAGTATTGGAAACGCCCTAATTTCAAAAAATGAAATGGAAGCTCTCATTACCAATCATGTGAAAGAATGTTTTGACTAATACATGATGATAAAAAATTTGCCAGAAAACCGCCTACTAATTCATACATGTATATTTGGTAAACTTGTTTCTCTCATTGACTGTGAGAGATATAGGGTAGTCCCATATACATCTTTCTGTGTATAGTGCTTGTAACTTTACGAAGAATGGGCCAAATTTCTTATCATGTTGATGATTCCAGAACCTTGCAGATGCTAGATGCTAGATGATCAAACTTTTCTGATCGATTCCACAACATTTCTTAAACAATGCAATCGCATGACCATAACTCGTCTTTACCTTTAAAATGCAGATTTATGCAATGCATATCTTGGTAATATGCATGTATTTCCAATGGATCCTTAACCCTTTTTTAAAAATCCTCCATCTTCTTTTTCTTTTCCTTCAGGCTTCAACTACTCCACCTTGTCAATTCTCTTTCTTTGTTCTTCTGCCATCTTCTTTCTTCCTATTTTTCGAGTGATCTGTCTTTTCTCCTATTCCCCCCCCCCCCCCTTCTTCTTTTTTCACATATTCCTTCGTACTCCTCACCCCAATAAACTTTGTACATTACAGCTTCAATACACAATCAAACCTGTCTACAGCAACCGCCCAAGGGAAACACAAAAAGTGGTCTATGTAGACAGGTTCCTTTAGTACATGTTTCAATGAGAAACCATTTTCAAGGGAAACAAAACATGTTCTTGTTGTAGATAGGTGGTCTTTGTAGACAGGTTCCTTAAGTACATGTTTCAATGAGAAACTATTTTCAAGGGAAACAAAAAATGTGCATGTTGTAGACAGGTGGTCTTTGTAGACAGGTTCCTTTAGTACATGTTTCAATGAGAAACCATTTTCAAGGGAAACAATAAATGTGCTTGTTGTAGACAGGTGGTCACTCACTAAAGCATGTTTGACTATACTTACAATGATATGTCCTTCAATCCTGAGATTTGATTGGTCGTACAGCCAGATCTGAACTCTTGACCTCTGGAAAAGGAAGAAAAAAAAGAAAGGAAAGATGAATACAAAACCTCTGGTATTAAAAAAAGGTACACTTAGCGTAGAGTAATCATGATGATAATAATAATAATTAAAAGCACTGTTAAAATCTAAAGGACAGTTCAGGCATTTTATAAGGAAAATATTATTCATATTTAAAGCTGAACTGATAAGGCTTTAAATGTTTTTTTTTAATATGTATGGAAGAAAACAGATTACAGATAATCTACTGATATATATTACATTCCACAAAAAGTAAAACAAAAATGATTTAAAAAAAGAAAAATTAAAAGATTAGATTAACCATGACATTGACAATTTGGTGACAAGCAGGGAGGCAGTAAGAATGGATTATTTCTTTAAAATATCTTAGGATTTCAAAGTCTTTAAAGATAAACTCCAGTACTGGTAAAAAAAAATAATAATTCTCACAGAATCTAACGAAACTTACACTGAATGTTCAAGATTACAAATAAATGACATGTGCCAAACAATTTTGGAAGAAAATGTATACTGGCTGAGTAATGAGCATAGAAAGACAAGGAAATCAAGGTAGTACTAGCCCCGACACCATGTGTGTTGTCCCATATATAGCTTTCTATGCGAGTGCTTGTTACTTTACCAAGACTCGGTCAAATTTATTATGATTTTGATGACTCCAGAACCTTGCAGTGCACACCAATACTTACAAGCTACATGATCAACTGTTTCTGATCCTTTCACACCTTTTCTTTCACAATGCAATCGCATTACCAGTACTAAAGTTTATCTTTAAGTATACTTACATTCTGAAGATATCTGAAAATCAAGTTCTGTCAGGATAAACAAATTTGAGAAGAATAATCTGTCAAGGAAATTAATCACCTGGGAAAACAAATAAGTCACCAAATTATAACTATATAAGGTGAATGAATGGTAACATGTCTAAATCTTGTATGTACTAATACTATGTATCATGTGATAGATAGCATATGTGCGTGCAACATGACTTGATTGGCTATTGCCATTTTGCAATTCATGGATTGCAAACCTTAGTGTTACTAACAATAGACATTATCAGGGAGTCAGGGGCGATGGTCCGATAATGAGGATCGTCCGCATAAAAACGAGGATATCCTTTCTTTTTTTTGTGTGCTCTGTGGGTGTAGGGTTCCTGATACGCGCGCTAGCAATGCGAAAAACAGATTCGTTTATGCAGACGATCCTTATTCTCGGACCAGCGCGGCAGCGCCCCTTGCAGAAGCACAATATTTTAAGTCAATAAACTGTTGATGAGCAATTGCGCACACGAATAGTCAATACACACACAACACACAAATGCACGCAATGAACACGATGTGGCTGATCGGCAAGTTTGACAGTACAGTCAGTAGTGTCAGTAGACTCACGATTTGAATTTTTAAATTATTCTTTCTAACATTAGGGTGTCTGAACGATTTTTCAATTTTCAATTTGAGATCGTTTTTCACCATTTTTGTTTGATATTTGAATAAAAAATGTTATCAGAATAGAGTAAAGGAGCCCGTTTTCAGCCACTTAAGACAAAATCCTATTTTTAGGACTCTTTACTTCCTATTTATTATCATTTCTTGTTCAAATCATGAAGCAAATATTATTATTATTTAAACAAAAAAAGAATCCCAGAAAAAAATCACGAATTGCCATGACAATATTCATTTCAATTTTCACTGTTTTGAAGCCGGTTATCGGCCGAGCGTTTCAGTTTACGGCCGCATGTACAAAGTCAATAGGAAGCGCTCGCGCGCGCCGTGCGTTTCCGCGCTGATGTACAGCACAAGCGGGCGGAGCAGGTATCCCACGCCTGAGCTCCCTGGTGCTCGCCTGGCCGAAGACAGGCACAGCGGTGATCGGAAGTTGGAATCTGAATTAGACAGAGATATCATGTGTGCGTTGCGGTGTGCGGCTGCATTGATTTAATACATGCGATGAGATACTTTTGAGCTTGCGACTAGCACAAAATCGGGCTCTAAATCTGAAAAATACTTGAAATAAAGCTCATTTTATGGTACCCATATTTCTTACAGACATGCGTAAGATACTTGATTTTTCAGATTCGGGTAGCAGGACCGGCGATTACTTCGCTAAAATGTGATATTTTAGGATATATTTTTCATTGCAAATGTGGTTCTTCAGTGACACTGGCATGGTATGTTATGTGTGGGATATGTGTTACGCTATTATGCGATGTATTTTAGAGTGATTTTACCTTGTATCCAACCAATCGGCCGAAAACGGGAGCTGGCCGATTACGGGCTCCTTTACTCTAATAGATCTACATTTCAAATTTCATGTCTCACCGATGTTTCTATCAAAAGTTACAGCCCCTCCAAAACGCTGGTATATTCATATCATTTTGGTCAAAATCGACGAAAAAGACGTCCACTTAAGTACTGATTGTGAGTGAAATTAGTTGAGTTTTGTACAGTGGTGTTTGAAATGTTGAGAATCAATAGCACAGCTTTTATTTTTAATACACAGCCAGGATAGTAATGCAGGTATGTGTGCATACAAAGGCCATAGTCCCACACATTGAACAAAAATCAAAAATTTACACAGAAACGTCTCAGAAATAAAAGTCATTATTATGAAAAGGATACGATTGGTTGAACCATCACTTTCTGCACCTTCTGCCCTTTATACGCCATGTTCACAATATGGTGTTGACAGCTTCAATATGAAGGTTTGGTTAATAATTTGGAGAATAAACAAAGCAAAATCGTTCCCGCTTCGTTTATCATCCGATGGCGTCCCAGTCAATTTTCCACATGTTACCAATCGCATGGAGTAAACTTGTCACTAGAGGGCGACATTTCACAGCTTTTTCGAGTAGCGCTTTCACCGAAATAGACATGGAAAAACTTGAGGGCTCCACTTATATTTTTCGTGGTCCATATTTTCGCCCCACCTGAAAATTTGTGAGCTAAGGGAGTTCCATTCCAACTTTCAAATTGGGATGGTAGGGATGGGGAACTCGTTCTTAAACCATCCAGGATGTGCTCTTTTTTTTATTTCTTGCAAAAACTTATGATGAAGGAGGGCATGCAACTGCTCATACCCAAATTTCCTGACTCGGAAAAATCACAAAGTATATTAGAAATACTTATCAATTGCACCATAGACCTACCACACGCTCCTTATCCTTTGGACTGTCTGCATTTCTTAATGTCCAATCACTATCGTCCAGTTAATATACCGAGAAAAAGCACATTTTAGGCTCATAATTTAGATTTTACACACTACATATCTCAATGAAATTAATACTAACTTGAAAGTGCTTTAATTAGCCATCAGTTGAAACCAAGTATACTTATAGTATATGGCACCTGGCTACTCAAATACATCTCGCTGCCGTAATATGAGATGTATAATGGTTGCCCAAATAGTCAAACTATAACAAATCTCGAACTTTATTTCATAATGGTTTATTTATTTTTTAAAATCACATTGTAGCCTATTAGCTTAATGGTACGATTTTTTAAACAATAATTCTTTGACATAAAAAAAATGAGAATATAATAAACATTGTAAAAACAATTACACAAAATAATAACTGCATACAATATTAACATAATATATTCAACAAATAATATTTTACATTTTGAACCGAAATAGCTCGAATTATCAGATGGTATAAAGGCACATACATTAACAGATGATCAGATCGAGAGAGAGAGAGAGAGAGAGAATCAAGAAGGGAGAGAGAAAAAGGTGGGAGTCAGAGAAGGAGAACTAGTGTTGGCCCGGCCCCTACTCAGGGGTCGGAATGCCCGCATGCGTGTTGCCAAAATGTCCGGTAAAGGGGTACCGGTACTTTTCGTGCGAAAAAGTCCGGCCCGAGAATTGAAGAAAAAGGGGTGTACTTGACTTTTCACCCGGAAATTTCTTTAAAAAGGGGGCGTTTTTCCTTTTTTTTCCTCTCATCTCTTTGGACTCCTGAGAAGTTATTCCGAATTTAGGGGGTACATTGAGCATTTTTCCTAATTTAGGGGGGTCTCCAAGGCAGGAAAGCCCGCGAAAAGCCCGCGAAAGGGGGGTTCGGAAATGCTTGCAGTCCTCAGATAGGGGGTGCTTTCAAAAAGAGGGAACGAGCATATGCGTACCCTAAATAACTCTGAGTGGGGGGGGGGGGGGGCGGGAGTGTTGGAAGAAAAAATACCATAAGGGAAAAACTGAGAATGAGTGACAAAAACCAGAAATAAGGCTTTAGATATGCGTGTTTTTGAATGCTTCATCGTCAGATGAGAGAGCAAACCAGGTACAACGATTACATGATATATATTGATATGGGAAAATTGTAAAATAAAATACAATTCATCATTTAAAAGTTTATATGCTTAAAATACTACTTAAAAGGTGAAATTAGATAAATTATACACTATACAGATTCCACAAATAAATAAAAATTGGATATTATTTACATTTAAAACATCATGTACGTAGATCGTGGGATGCAAGGAAGTAGGCAATAAAAAGGCTAAGGCAGATGCAGGCGCGTACGCAGGATTTTTTCAAGGGGGGGGGGGGGGTTAACATTTTTAAATCGGGCCGAAAAATTTCGCAACGACTCTGCAGCCAGCCGCTGAATAAGCAGGGGGAAGGGGGTGGGGGAAGAGGACCCCTTTTTTTTTTGGTCTCGAAATTTGAAAATTTGACATTTTGCTCCGTTGGGGGGAGGGGGGGGGATGTTTAAAAAAAAATCCCAAGGGGGGGGGGGGGGTTCCTCCAAAATACACACATAAACAATACCAAAGGAGGGGGGTTAACCCCCCCCCCCCCCTCCCCTGCGTACGCGCCTGGGCAGATGTATATATCAAAATATGTTGATGAAGTGAGAGAGAGAGAGAGAGAGGAATAAGAGAAGGAGGTGATAAATTATGTTATCTTGCAAAACTGGAAATGTTATACTTCGTTATACGTGTATCATACCAGGGTTTTGTTTCATATAAAACTTATAATCAATAACAAGCTACTGAAATTGTGGTATATGATTGGCTGAGAGCAGATTCATCATAGAAATTAAGCATCGATTATTAATAACAAGTTTTATGAAACAGGGTTTGGAATTAAGCTCTTGGACTTTGGAGGGGGAACAATCGGCTGTGCCCCCTTTATGAAACCCAGTGGCATAATGTTAGTGCACAACCACAAAATAAAAACGCCATACAAGTTTCGATTCGAAAGCAAGCTGAAAATGAAATAACTTTTCTTTTGCTTATCGGAGATTAAAAAAAGGATATTTGGCAAGAAATCAGTCCCTGATATTTTGGTCTTGGTATTAAAGGTATAGACCAGTTCTGGTCATGCGATTGCATTGTGAAAGAAACAGTGTGGAATCGATCAGAAAAGGTTGATCAACTATATTGGTGTGTACTGCAAGGTTCTGGAATCATCAACATGATAAGAAATTTGGCCCTGTCTTGGTAAAGTTACAAGCACTGTACACACAAAGATGTATGGGACTACACGATATCTTTCCAGTCCGGATAAATATGATAATGTACCAAATATATCGATTAGTATAGGCGGTTTCCCGGCAAAATTTGTATCATCATGTATTTAGTCAAAACATATTTTTTCACATGATTGGTAATAAGAGCTTTCATTTCATTTTTGAGAGGGAGGCGTTTCCAAAACTGGTTTATACCTTTAAAGAGACGCTTCTATCTTTCTACCTTCTAACGCACCATGTATGACAGTGCTCCTGTTTTATAAACCCTATATTTAGGGATATTGACGAAAGTGCAATGACCACAATGCAAATATGCTTACGGATACGACACAAATCTCGACAAAAGCAGCAGCGGTTCCTTAAATCCCCCTACAATTTTGAGAGTGCATAAATGCATAAACTACCGAACCCCTGAACAGGCGCGTACGCAGGATTTTTTTCGAGGGGTGGGGTGGGGGGGGGGGGGGGGGGGGGGGGGAGGTTAAAATTACAAAATCACGCCGAAAATTTCGTAACGACTCAGCCAGCCGCTTACAACTAAACTGACCAAAATATATCCATTCCTTCTTGACTTTTAAATATACTTTGGGATATATATTAGGTCAGGAAGAAGGGAGTGAAAGGGTGGGGTGATGGGGACAGGGTCATCATTCATAATTATGGAGAACTAGGTATAACGAAACATATTATTTGTATGTGTGGACTGTGTGAAAAGGCATATGAAGGGGACATTATTAAAACACGCAAGAATGGCCACATCGGTTTGAAAACATTTGATCTCTTAGAACACGACGCAGCTTCAATTTATTTGCAGCTGAAATAATGAATAAATAACAGAAAACAATACAAAATAATGCATTATCAAATTAGGACTAAAGCGATAAGCGATATGAAACAAAATTTATTTGACAACAAATGTATTATCTTGGTTGATATTGATATTTGCAAAGAGTTGCGATTCTAAAGTTCAATTGTTTTATCGCTTTAACACCAAGCTTTATGATTAACTTTTTATTTGCTTAGTCGTAAGCAGTTTTGATCTACATGTAGTTCGCTTTCCTGTGCATAGTTCACACAGATCGAGCTTCAATGAAACATTAAAGGAATATAATGTTACTCTAAGCATTCTCCGAATACACAGCGATGTCAGGTAATGGCAGTTTAACAGATGATCGCAAGGAAGGAATATAGGACATAATTCTCTGCAACCAGAGAACGTATTGATCCAGCAATGCTGCGAGACTTTAACACAGTATATGTATGATGTGAATCAAGAGATCCATTATGCAGTTTTGCGGGGTAATCGGGGTTTGTTAAAACTTGTTTTAAACACAAATCAAACAAACCGAAATGGAAAACCCACTCTTATACATGTCGGTCCAATATGGGCAGGAGAGTGTCAAGGATCTCAAATATCATGGAGCTTATGTGGAGAGTCTAGATAATCAAACATCTTTACATCTTGCTGCTTCACTCGGACCTCTTAAAGCAGCGAAATATGTACCCAGCTACTCTGCATTATACGGTACTGCTCAGAATCTGAATCATCTTGGTATCGCCAAATACCTTTCCAGTCAAGGAGCTGAGGTGAAAAGGGGATGTGAGGACGGTTGGACAGCATTACATAGTGCTGCTTTCAATGGTCATCTTGATGTCATGAAAAACCTCACCAGTCAGGGATCTGAGCTGAATAAGGGAGATATTGACGGTAGGACTGCATTAAACGTTGCTGTTGGGGAGGGTCATCTTGATGTCACCAAATATCTCATCAGCCAAGGAGCTGAGGTGAATAGGAAAGATAATGACGGTTGGACTGCTTTAAGCCTTGCTGTTCAGCAGGGTAATCTTGATGTCACCCAATACCTCATCAGTCAAGGAGCTGAGGTGAATGGGAGCGAGAAAGAAGGTAAGACTGCATTACACCTTGCTGCTTTCAATGGTCATCTTGGTGTCACCAAACATCTCATCAGTCAAGGAGCTGAGGTGAATAAGGGAGATAATTACGGTGGGACTGCATTACACGCTGCTGTTTGGAAGGGTCATCTTGATGTCACCAAATATATCACCAACCTAGGAGCAAATGTGAATAGGAGAGATAATTACGGTGGGACTGCATTACACGCTGCTGTTCAGCAGGGTCATCTTGATGTCACCAAATACCTCATCAGTCAAGGAGCTGAGGTGAAAGGGAGCGAGAAAGAAGGTAAGACTGCATTACACCTTGCTGCTTTCAATGGTTATCTTGGTGTCACCAACCATCTCATCAGTCAAGGAGCTGAGGTGAATAAGGGAGATAATTACGGTCGGACTGCATTAAACGTTGCTGTTCAGGAGGGTCATCTTGATGTCACCAAATATCTCATCAGCCAAGGAGCTGTGGTGAATAGGGGAGATATTGACGGTTGGACTGCTTTAAGCCTTGCTGTTGGGAAGGGTCATCTTGATGTCACCAAATACCTCATCAGTCAAGGAGCTGAGGTGAATGGGAGCGAGAAAGAAGGTAAGACTGCATTACACCTTGCTGCTTTCAATGGTCATCTTGATTTCACCAAACATCTCATCAGTCGAGGAGCTGAGGTGAATAAGGGAGACATTTACGATCGGACTGCATTAAACGTTGCTGCTGGGAAGGGTCATCTTGATGTCACCAAATATCTCATCAGCCAAGGAGCTGTGGTGAATATGGGAGATATTGACGGTTGGACTGCTTTAAGCCTTGCTGTTCAGCAGGGTCATCTTGATGTCACCAAATACCTCATCAGTCAAGGAGCTGAGGTGAATGAGAGCGATGATAACGGTAGGACTGCATTACACGTTGCTGCTTTTAATGGTCATCTTGTGGGAACCAAATATCTCATCATTCAAGGAGCTGAGGTGAATAAGGAAGATAATTACGGCTGGACTGCATTATGCGATGCTGCTTTGAAGGGTCATCTTGATGTCACCAAATACCTCATCAGTCAAGGAGCTGAGGTAAATGAGAGCGATAATAAAGGTGGGACTCCATTACACGTTGCTGCTGGGAAGGGTCATCTTGATGTCACCAAATATCTCATCAGCCAAGGAGCAGATGTGAAGCGGGGAGATAATTACGGTCGGACTGCATTAAAGCTTGCTGCTAGGAATGGTCATCTTGATGTCATCAAATACCTCATCAGTCGAGGAGCTGAGGTGAATAAGGGAAATAATATGATTGCATTTCACAGTGCTGCTTTCAATGGTCACCTTGATCTCTCCAAATATCTCATCAGTCAAGGAGCTGAGGTGAATGGGGGAGATAATAACGGATTGACTGCATTACATGCTGCTGCTTATCAGGGTCATCTTGATGTCACCAAATATCTCATCAGTCAAGGAGCCGAAGTGAATAGGGGAGATAATTACGATTTGAGTGCATTAAAGCTTGCTGCTATGAATGGTCATCTTGATGTCACCAAATATCTCATCAGTCAAGGAGCCGAGGTAAATAGGGGAGATAATAACGGAGTGACTGCATTACATGCTGCTGCTCATCAGGGTCATCTTGATGTCACCAAATATCTCATCAGTCAAGGAGCTGAGGTGAATAGGGGAGATAATAACGGATTGACTGCATTACATGCTGCTGCTCTTCAGGGTCATCTTGATGTCACCAAATATCTCATCAGCCAAGGAGCTGAGGTGAATAAGAGAGGAGATAATGTGGGTGTGACTGCATTACACAATGCTGCTTTCAATGGTCGTATTGAAGTCACCAAATATCTCATCAGCCAAGGAGCAGAGGTGAATGGGGGTGATAATGGCGGTCGGACTGCATTAAACCGTGCTGTTCAGGAGGGTCATCTTCAAGTCATCAAATACCTCATCAGTCAAGGAGCTGAGCTGAATGAGAGCGATAATAAAGATGGGACTGCATTACACGTTGCTGCTGGGAAGGGTCATCTTGATGTCACCAAATATCTCATCAGCCAAGGAGCAGAGGTGAATACGGGAGAAAATAAAGGTCGGACTGCATTACACGTTGCTGTTTGGAAGGGTCATCGTGATGTCACCAAATATCTCATCAGCCAAGGAGCTAATGTGAATAGGGGAGATAATGACGGTTGGACTGTGTTAAACCTTGCTGCTCAGGAGGGTCATCTTGATGTCACCAAATACCTCATCAGTCAAGGAGCTGAGGTGAATAAGAGCGATAGTAAAGGTGGGACGGCATTACACGCTGCTGCTGGGAAGGGTAATCTTGATGTCACCAAATATCTCATCAGCCAAGGAGCAGATGTGAAGAGTGGAGATAATAAAGGTCGGACTGCATTATGTGATGCTGCTGTGGAGGGTCATCTTGATGTCACCAAATATCTCATCAGTCAAGGAGGTGAGGTGAATAGGGAAGATAATGTGGGAAGGACTGTATTTCTGAATGCTGCCTTTAATGGTCATCTTGATGTCACCAAATATCTTATCAGTCAAGGAGTTGAGGTGAATAGGGGAGATAATATGGGAAGGACTGCATTTCTGAATGCTGCTTTAAATGGTCATCTTGATGTCATCAAATACCTCGTCAGTCAAGGAGCTGAGGTGAATACGGGAGATAATGTGGGTAGCACTGCATTGTACTATGCTGCTTTCAATGGTCATCTGGATATCGTCAAATATCTCATCAGCCAAGGAGCTGAGGTGAATAGGGGAGATAATAACGGATTGACTGCATTACATGCTGCTGCTCTTCAGGGTCATCTTGATGTCACCAAATATCTCATCAGTCAAGGAGGCGAGGTGAATAGGGGAAATAATATGGGAAGGACTGCATTTCTGAATGCTGCTTTAAATGGTCATCTTGATGTCATCAAATACCTCGTCAGTCAAGGAGCTGAGGTGAATACGGGAGATAATGTGGGTAGCACTGCATTGTACTATGCTGCTTTCAATGGTCATCTGGATATCGTCAAATATTTCATCAGCCAAGGAGCTGAGGTGAATAGGGGAGATAATAATGGATTGACTGCATTACATGCTGCTGCTCTTCAGGGTCATCTTGATGTCACCAAATATCTCAGCAGCCAAGGAGCTGAGGTGAATAAGGAGAATAACGACGGTAGGACAGCGTTTCAGCTTGCTGCCAGAAAGGGGCATCATAATGTCACGACATATCTCATCAGTCAAGGAGCTGAGGTGAATGAGAAATATAATGATGGTTGGACTGCATTACACAGTGCTGTTTTGAATGGTAACCTTGATATTGCTAGAGTCCTTATGGCAGAAGGAGCACATTATGACGTAAAAGACATTTATGGCCAGACACCTCTAAATCTGTCCTTAGTCCTCGGGTACCAAAGCATTGCTGATCTATTCATGGACCACTCCAATGCTAAGGTAAACATTTAAAAAAGAAATCTTTACATCAAAGTCATCTACCTTGATGTTTTTAATAACAAGTACTGAAATTCAATTTAGAGCATATAAGGCATTGCTACCTATCATTATTTTATATGACTAGACCAGCTCGAGGCTGACTTTGTATCACCAATAATAATCATACGTAATTATAACTCCAGTTATACCTCACTACTGTTTCATAGACTTCATAGACAAGTTACACTTTCTTTAATCATTGGATTTACTTGATCACCTGTCAAATTGTCAATAATTGATATTTCTTTTTTATTTTCAAGTTTTCATGCTGCGTATTTTCTTATGTCTAGCTCGACCAGAATACGGATATCCATCTTGCCATCCAACACGGTCACATCTCAACCATTGAGAAGTTAGTTTCCGAGGGAGCTGATCTCAATATCCAGTCTCCTGACGGACAGACCTGTCTCCATAAAGCCATTAAACTCTGCAATAGCAGCGAGAAAATCGTGCAAGACAGTGAAACGCTGAGAAAGGTAAGTCATATACCCCAGAAACGCAAACGAGACCGACACAAGACCGACGAGAGTTTGGACAACAAGTTTAATTACGACAAAATAATGGTCAGTTTTGGAGTCTGCATATGGAGTCGTTACGGCAGTGTGACTGACATATACCGCTCCTATAGGTCATTAGTGAATCCTAGAATCTCAAACCCGTGGTTGGTCCAAGAAAGTTGTGTACGTCGATGTGTGTTTCTGAGTTTGTGTGTATGGGGAAGTTTACAACATAAATCGGTATTTCCACTACTGTGAATCCAAGAGGCAGCGTAAAACCATGCCTAAGATGCTCATCCATCCTGACTATTGATGGACGATAATGTACTAAGAAAAACAAATATATATATTTTTGTTTTGTTTTAGATCTCCGAAGAGCATTACGGGGGCGAACTATCTCCTGAGAAGGCCTTGGTGTTTTATCTCCTAGAGAATGGAGCTAAGTTAGATGTGAAGGATGAGAGAGGCAATCTACCAATCCAATATGCCGAGGATGAAGTGGTCAAACAGATGATTTTGTCGAGGTGATACTTTCATATCATAAGGAATATCAATTTCCCCGACAATTTTCCGGCATAAGATTGATGAAAGATCTTACTTTTTTTGCGATTCGGTAAAGGAATAACTTCTTTCTGACTTGTTTTCAAGTACAGATCGATCAATCAATCTTTATTTACTGGGTGTAAGCCACAAAGATTTTTAAACAATTGAAATTTCTCCCAGGAAGCATTATATTTATTAAAAAGGAATTACACTGTGAAACATTTAAACGTTCATACCTGGTAATGAGATTCATAACTTGCACCCCCCTTCCGTGTGACACGCCAATCCAATTTCCCCTAATTTATAACAAGAGAAACGTTGTCAAGTATAATATAATTTTGAAAAAAAAGACTCTGACTCAATTATGCCTAAATGGTTGTGAGCTAACAATCATGTCTCCAAATATCATAGCCTTATTGCCCCTTCCCCTCTTTCTCAAAAGTTGATTTCCATAAACATTCATCTTACTTTGGCATGATTGATAGATTGATTTGTTGGGGGATAGGAAACCAATTAAAGTTAAGAGTGAAATTATATGAAATTCTGATTCATAAGACAGGCAGCATCTAAACAATTTAAGGAGATTTTTGATAATCAGGGGCTAATAAAGGGAAAAGGGCTAATGTGCATGATACGCACAAAAACAGTTAACACAAATTCAAATGAGTAAATAGGGACTTTTAGATTGAGTGGACGAGAACACGACGAACGCCGACTGATCATGCGTGTCAACGTACTCAACTGCCCATGTTGACTACAATTAGAAATCTTTTAGATTGCACTCGGCGATAAACATGCATGCAGGAAGTAACACTATGAATATGACGGACAAAGAAAGAGGACAAAATATACAGTTCCTCATTCTACCCTCAACAATAGGCCATTTTCGTAATGTAACCAAATTTAATGCATAAGTGTTTGTGAAGTGCCTTAATACCAATGATTTCATTCACCTGATAAGAATAATAGTATTTCAATAGTCAGAATGCAAACTGGATATATTACGTGTTTCTAGGTAGGTCAAGCCATAATGTTTGTCCTACCTGGCAACAACTAATATATGCAGTTCGAATTCTGTTTATTGAAATACTATTATTCTTATCAGGTGAATGAAATAATTTGTATTGAGGCACTTCACAAAGACTTATGCATTAAATTTGGCTACATTACGAAAATGACCTATTGCTGTGGTAGAACATCCCTTCACTGCTATTATGTAAAAATGTATAGAACAGGTGAATATGCATGTGACACCTGTTCTACACATTTTTACATAATAGCAGGGAAGGGATGGTCCTTTGTCTACCTGAGGAACTGTATATTTTATGCGCACGCGGCATATACTAGTACCGTACTTGATTTAGGAAAATCAAGGTTGACGCATTCTCGATCGCCGACTGAGACGACGTGACGCATGCGCAGTGCCTCAAAATGACGTCACACGTGGCAGTCAAAGCTGTCGACGTGCAAATCTAAAAGTCTCTAATAGCGAGTAAGCTCAGCAGGGATTGCATTTTATTCAGACTAATTTTGTAAGGTTACAATAAGTAGCTATTGATGTAACATAGCATACGCATCCTTTTATGATAACTTCAACTCAGTGTGAATAGTATATTTGTAAAGCGCTTAGAGACATTTGTATTATGCGCTATATACAAATTAAATATTATTATTATTATTATTAATTCCTTTTGATTTATTGAAATTGAACCTTTATGATCACAATGATGTCACATTCAGCCAACTTAAAACGGAGTTGCAAGCTCCTTTCTTTTATGAAAGCTGGGATTGCTACTGGAGCTGGAATCACTTAGTGACATGTACCAAGAAGTAATATTAAAGAAATTGGTGTAGAAATGACAGATCTTCTTCTTATCGAGTCACTACACAAGCAGGGGCGTCGCCAAGGGGGGGGGGGGGTGTGGGGGGTGCGACACCCCCACCTGTCAGGATATTGTCGGTAAAATTGCGCTGCCGTCGGGAAAAAAGAGAAAAGGGGGAGGGGAAAAAAGAGAGGGAAAGGGAAAGAAAAGAAAAAAAAAAGAAGAAATGAATAGAAAGGAAAGAAAGGAAAAGAAAGGAAAAAAGGAGAGGAAAGGAAAAAAGGAGAGGAAAAAAAAGAGGGAGGAGAGAGGAAAGAAAATAAAAGAGAAAAGAAAGAAAAGGAGAAAAGGAAGAAAAAAGAGAAAAGGAAACAAGGGGAGCTAAGAGCCGGAGAGAGGGTGGGTGGGAGTAAAAGAGAGGGGGGTTGTTGGGTGGAGTCGTCTCGTCGATGGAGCAAGAAAGACACGCATAAATATATTGCTGTGTCGGGTCAGCTGTGTCGGTATTCTTGCTCGATCCTCGGGTACTATATAAATGCAGGAATTTGAAGTTGGTGAGATGTATAATGTCGGTTTGCCGACAAGCTTTTTTACCCTTACTAACTGTGACTTTTATCCGCTGTGACGACATCGAGAGAGACTACAACTATAATACTTGTATTTTCTAGAAGTTTGACTTTCCTATAATATCAGCTAAAGAAATCAGAGGTTTAACATTTCGGGTAAACTAAATTCAAACAAGGATTAAGAGTCAAGAACGGTACAACGAATCGTCCTTTTTCTCTAATATTTTAATGAAACGCCAAAGCTTTCGCGCTTCGCGCGGGAGAGGGGAACTTCATTTAGAAAAGGAATAAGAGTCGCGAACGGTACGACGAATCGTCTTCTTTCTCTAATAATTTAATAAAACGTCAAAACTTCCGCGCTTCGCGCGGGAGGGGGTAAACTGAATTCAGAAAAGGATTAAGAGTCGAGAACAGTAGAACAGATCGTCTGCTTTTTCTAATAATTTAAGGAAACGTCGAAGCTTCCGCGCTTCGCGCGATTGGGGGAAACTGAATTCAGGCAATTAAGGATTTAGAGTCGAGAATACTACACCGAATCGTCTGCTTTTTTTATAATAATTTAATGAAACGTCAAAGCTTCTGCGCTTTGCGCGGAAGTGTGGAATCTTTATTCAGATAAGGATTAAAAGACGAGAACAGTACAACGAATCGTCTGCTGTTTCTCATTATTTAATGAAACGTCAGAGCTTCCGCGCTTTGCGCGATTGGGGGAAACTGAATTCATACAAGGGTTTAGAGTCGAGAGCAGTACAACAAATCGTCTTCATTGTCTAATAATTTAATGAAAAGTCCAAGCTTCCGAGCTTCGCGCGGTAGGGGGAAACTTCATTCAGACAAGAATTAAGAGTCGCGAACAGTACGTCGAATCGTCTTCTCTCTCTAATAAATTAATAAAACGTCTAAGCTTCCGTGCTTTGCGCGGGAGGGGGAAAACTGAATTCAGACAAGGATTAAGAGTCGAGAATGGTACTATACGGATCGTCTTCCTTTCCTAATTATTTTAAAAAACGTCTGAGCTTCCGCGCTTCGCGCGGGAGGGTGAAATCCATAAAGTCAGATAAGGATTAAGAGTCGAGAACACTACAACGAATCGTCTGCTTTCTCTCATAATTCAATGAAACGTCAAAGCCTCGCGCGGGAGGCCCTTCGCGCGCTCTTTAAGTGATTCGCTTCTCACTACCCCCCCCCCCATAGGATTCAAGCTACGCACCTGCATTTAAATATATAGCTATGATACTGACTAAGTTAACGAAATAATTCGTATATTTATGTCGAGGAAAATGACCATTTGCGCATACGCAAGTACTATAGATAGTTCATAGAAAAAAACAATTCGCCTTCGGCCCCGGGTTGATAGGGTTAAATTTGTAGACACGGGGACATTAAATTTTGTCGGTAATTGGTGGTTAGTTTTGTCGATAATCGGTGGTCTCTACACCCCCCCCCCCCCCTCCACTGAAAAAGGTCTAGCGACGCCCCTGTACACAAGTCCCGTCCAGTGGTCCACACAGGCTTTGGCACGGCAATTCACGGCTTCCAGGTCATCTTGGGTGCATGACTCTGGCAGGAGTGGGCAGACTAGCAGGTGTTCCATTGTCTGTTCCTGGCCGCATTCACATGCTGTTTGTTCGTCTCCTAGACCCCACCTCTGCATTAGGACTCTGCATCGACCGTAGCCAGTTCTTAGGTGGTTGAGGCTTAGCCAGGTAGGCCAAGTCTCACTGGAGCCGGGATTCCTTCGGGCTGAGGGAGAGTTTATGTGGAGTGTTCTGAAGGTGGTTAGACCACAAAGTCATCCTTTGGTTGTGAGGGCTGGTATTAAGGGGCTCTACAGTGTGCAGAAAGCTGCGTCTGGATTTGAGCCGCTTGCCCACCGGCTGTTGTTCGAAGAGTCGGTGGAGTGGATTGTTCTCTTGTTTGTCCTTTTCAAGACCAACCTTCTGACGTGTGGAGGGGCAAAACCGCAGAACAGGTAGATATCTTCTACTTTAGTTGGCCTAAGGCAGCCAGTGATCGCTCTGCAAGATGAGTTTAGAGCAGGGTCGATCTTGGGTGCATGGGCCGACCTACTCCATACTGGTGGCGCATACTCTGGCATCAGTCTCCCAGTTGGCGTTGGCTAGCTTCTTGAGGATGCTGTTAAGGGCTCCAACTTTTGCCTTTGTGTTGGCAATGTGGTTCTTGTAGGTAAGGGAGCGATCCAGTGTGACGCCTAGGTGGACTGGGTTGGGAGTGTGCTTAAGCCTTTTCCATACCAGCTGATCCTTAGTTGATGGTTGGCATCCCTGTTCTTGAGGTGAAATGCGCTTATCTGAGTTTTATCAGGGTTAGCTCTCAGGTGGTTGATCGCATAGTATGGGACGAGACCGGCCAGGGCGTCACTGAGGAACTCCTCCAACTTCACAAAAGACTGGTTCTGGGTGGCGATGCAGAGATCATCGGCGTAGAGCAAGCTTCTGGTGTTTGGGTGGATCGGTTGGCAGCAACGTCTGGATGAGTCCATTCAGTCTCACGTCTTTTGTCAACTCAAAGATCTTCCTGGTAAAAGACTGTGGTTCACTGTGTCGTAGGCAGCAAAGAGATCAACGAAAGCAGC